ATTCGGTTCAACTGCGGTTTAAAGAGGTTTTAACCTCCTTTAATCCCATCACTCGCACAGGCTGGTGCTGGTGATCAGGGCTCTAGTGGCCGCTGTCAAGGTAAGTGACAGGGAATTTCCTCTCACCTCTCCACGGTGGCTTGAATCGCTCAAACACTGAACCGCCTCCGGTGGCAGATGTGCAGATTGGAGGACTGTGTGTGTGTGTGTGCCTGAGCTGCACTTTTATGGCTTCTGTCGTTATCATATGGAATCCTTGGTTTCGTAAAGCTCGCGTAGAAATACAACACTGAATTCCCCTGACAGCCGCTGGTACAGTGACCTGCTGAGGAATCCATTCAAACACTGACCTCCCCCACCCACCCCAACCACCCCCACCCCTACCACAAGCCTTGGCTCTTGCCGCCAACCTGCACCTCGTACTCTCTGGAATTAGGTAAGCAGGATACCTCTCCCCAGGGAGAGGGTACGGATTCCATTCCAACAATCTATCTCTGGGCCAGGTTTGATTCCCTTACTCCACGACGACGCTTTACCGAGCAATAAGTAGGAACACGGTTGTTAGTCGATTGGCGGATCGCTTTTCCTTCCAAAAAAAATTGATCACTTCAATCCACGACTGTTTGTGGGACGCTGCTGTGCACAATTGGCTGCTGTGTTTCGCCCACAATATATACAGTCAATTCACTTTACAGTATATTCTGTGAAGCGCTTTGAGATGTCTCGAAGATGTGATCAGGCGCTGTATCAAATGCCAGGATTATTATTATTTCCATGTGTAGGTGAGATGCATGGAAATCTCAGTTGGGTTTGGAGACTCTTAGTACAGTGACGGGTTTCCGTGTGTCAGACACCCGGCTGGTCACGGTGACGGGTTTCCGTGTGTCAGACACCCGGCTGGTCACGGTGACGGGTTTCCGTGTGTCAGACACCCGGCTGGTCACGGTGACGGGTTTCCGTGTGTCAGACACCCGGCTGGTCACGGTGACGGGTTTCCGTGTGTCAGATACCCGGCTGGTCACGGGGATGGGTTTTCGTGTGTGTCCGACACCTGGCTGAGGTGCTTTTGCTGTGTGTACAAGTTCGGACCTTGGTTTGCCTATTATTAAGTGGGGCCCAGGTTGTTTACTATGGATTTCCCTGTGGTTAATCCTCTGCCTTTAGTGGGGGGACCTGTTCTGTCAAATTATCAGATTAAAGAGAGGTGCCAGTATTGGGTAATCAGAGATCGACTCCGGGCGGGGGCGGAATCTCTGATGTTTTAGAGCAGTTTGTGGCAGAGAATCCACATCAACAATAACAAATACCATGTACATAATATTTTGCTGGTGACCCTTCAGGAGGGGAGCGATCTGTATCAGCACCACCCCCACCCCCCCACCCCGGTACACTGATCAGCTCCAGTCAGGTTAGATATTTACCAGCAGTGAAGTAAAAGTGTAGCCGTATCTCTGGGGGGATGTCATCTTCGGTTTAATGGGAAGAGGCTGTTCAACCAACCACTCCCCCCCGAGACTGAGACACATAGACACACACACACACACAGACATAGACACACACACACACGGATTCCAGACTGGACATTGAGACATTGTAGCTGAAAGCACCTGTGTGTACTGTGTATGTGTGCTGTGTGCGTGTATGTGTGCTGTGTGTGTGTGTGTGCTGTGTGCGTGTATGTGTGCTGTGTGCGTTTCCTGCTCTGTGTGTGCGTGAGCACGTGTGTATGCGTGTGCTGTGTGTGTGTGCGCGCGTGAGAGTGTGTGCTGAGTGGTGTAAGTGTGCTGTGTGTGTTTGCTGCTGTGTGTGAGGGAGAGAGGGTATGTGTGTGTTTGCTGCTCTGTGTGTATGTGAGGGAGGGAGAGAGTGTGTGTACGTGTGTGTTTGCTGTTCTCTGTGTGTGTGTGTGTGTGCGAGGAAGAGTGTGTGTAAGTGTGTGCTGTGTGTGTTTGCTGCTGTGTGTGAGGGGGAGAGTGTGTGTGTGTATGTGTGTGTTTGCTGTTCTGTGTGTATGTGAGGGAGAGTGTAATACCCGTCCAGTCATTGGCCAAAGTCTAACATAAAAGCTCGTCACCATTCACGTGGAATCAGCAAACAGCCCGAGTCCTGGGAAGTTCCCGATACAGCGAGTGGGGAGGAAACCTGTTGGATCACATTCTCGAGGAGTGAGACAGCCTCCGCAGTCTCAGTGAGATAACAGAGAGAGAGAGAATCGGTTGGTTACCCTTTGCCAAGAGCTGTGTCCGGACTTTGAGTGTCTGACAGCGGGCAGTGAGGGGGTTAATGAGGACAGCGCGTCCCTGACTGACTGACAACAGCTGTCGGCAGCATTCAAGCGGCACAGTCACACACACACAGACACACAGTCACACACACACAGACAGACACCCAGAGACACACACACACACAGTCACACAGACACAGACAGACACCCAGAGACACACAGTCACACACACACACAGACACTCAGAGACACATACACACGCAGACACACACAGAGACAGCAAACAGACAAACATACAGACACACACACATCCAGAGACAGACGACAGCCTGAGCCTTGGAGCCGGACTCTCGCCTCGGCCCCGGGAGCCTGAGTGAGTGGGGAGGGAGGGAGGGAGGGAGGGAGAGAGGGAGGGGAGTGAGGGGAGGGGAGTGAGAGGAGGGAGGGAGAGGAGAGAGGGAGAGAGGGAGGGGAGTGAGAGGAGGGAGGGAGAGGAGAGAGGGAGGGAGGGAGAGAGGGAGGGGAGTGAGAGGAGGGAGGGAGAGGACAGAGGGAGGGAGGGAGAGAGGGAGGGGAGGGAGAGGAGGGAGGGAGAGGAGAGGAGAGGAGAGAGGGAGGGAGGGAGAGGAGAGAGGGAGTGAGAGGAGAGGAGGGAGGGAGTGAGAGGAGAGAGGGAGGGAGTGAGAGGAGAGAGGGAGGGAGTGAGAGGAGAGAGGGAGGGAGTGAGAGAGGGAGGGAGTGAATGAGTTTCTCTGTTTCTGGTCAGTGATGATGATTTAAGTTGCAGGTTTCAGGTCAGGAGACGCCACAGAGACAGAGAGAGTCACAGCTGAGAGCAAACCTTATATATACCGTCTGTGCGATTGAGTTTTCCATGAAATGGGAAAGTTTTGTTGAACAGCGCATTTCCCAATAACTTTGTTGTTAACTTCCCTGAACTCGTCTCCCCCCTCCACACCCCACACCCCCCGGACTGTCTGTGTGCGCCTCTCTGTACCCGTGTGTGTGTGTGTGTGTACAGTAGTGTGTGTGTCTCTCTCCGACTCTCTGGGACCTGTCAGGTAATAAATAACACGTTACCGCCCGTCAATACAGTGAAGCCTGGGCTGCAGCCCCCCCACCCCCAGCCCAGCATCAGCCCCGGGGGGACACGGCGAGAGCCCGGGGTAGAGGTGGCGGGTGAGCTGAGGGGAGTGACTGATCACCAGCCTGAGCTCTGTTCTGAGCGGTTGGTTCTAATGTTACAGTCAGTCTCACCGGGAGGTGTTTATTTACAGGGAATAATAATTGTGGACTAATGGGGGGAAGGGACGGTTAGGGGGCAGTGAGAGACAGGGTTAGGTGTCAGTTCCTGGCAGCGTGGAGCTAACGTTCCTCCCACAAAATACACAGTCACTATATCTTCTGAAGCACTTTGAGACGCCTCGAAGACATAACGAGGTGCTACATCAAATGCAAGGATTATTATTATTACTATTATTCCTCCCCCTGTCGCAGCACGGCCTCTCACAATCACTTTCCCGGGTACGTGTTGTGGTCGTTGGGGGTGAGGTGAGGCCCGAGGAATCAGGTTTTACAGCTTTAAACAGTGTTGTATCCCCATATTTCATTATCCCTCATTCCCAGGACCTTCCTGATGCTCTCATGCTTCAAAACTTGTCTCTCACTCTTCCTTCCTCATACTCTACAGAACTCCTCCCTCCCTCCCTCGCTCTCTGCCCCCACACCCCTGGGCAAGCTTGCCTAACTGGAAGCATGATCACTTATTGCCCTCTCTCTCTCTCTCTCTCTGGGGTTTAACCTCCATGTACTGTGCTGTATGCGCTTGTGTTTGGTGTTGGGGTGTGTTTGGCGGTGTGTGTTGGGTTGCGTTTGGGGGCTGTGTTGTGTTTGGCGAGGTTAGCTGGGTTGGGTGTGTGCCGTGTTTGAGGCAGTTAATCAGGTTCAGCGGTGTGAAGGGCAATTCTGCTACAAAGAACAAAGCAGGATTGTTCACATTCAGAATGGACAAACAGCGGGAACCAGTAACCAACTCAGATACTGTAATAGGAGGGAGGGAGGGAAGGAGGGTGGACATTCTGTAAAGAGGAGAGCGAATGGGTTGGAGAGACATCTTCATCTGCACCGCTCTTGTGAGCCTCAGTGAGAGGCTCCCCCATAATGCCAGTGTCGGGTTGGGTTCACACTGCCGATTATCGCTAACTACACAGAGAGACAAGGGTGGCTGTGCCCAGGTGAGGGGAGGCAGACACCAGATGCCCATCTTGTGTCTCAGTCAGTCACCTTACCCTCAGCTGAGAAAGACAGACACAGGCCTTGCCAGGGTCCTGTAGGAACAAGCCTGATGAGGAGAGAGAAGGTGTTGATGTTGAGCAACAGTTCCTGGCATGACTGACATGATGCGACGTGTCTGTGGAGAAATTCTCTATGTTGCCTTGCCATCAGCTACCTTCCAAGCGATGGCGAGGACTTGTGTGTCTGACAAGCTAATCTGAGGGCAAATGGAGGCGCTGGAATTCTTGAGGATCTGAATATTCCCCGGTGTCTAACCAGCTAAAACTACAAAGCTTTGCCCATTGATATCATTGTCTGGCAAGTTTTCCCACTGCTTGTCCATTTAGGACCACCCTACCCATTAGGGCTTTGGCTTGTAGGGTTAATGTTTTGGCAGAGGAGGCTGATTGGCACATGTGTTGTCATCTTATCTTCTTTAGTGTTAATCCCACCCTCCCCTTTCATCCCCCCGCCCCCCCCATTGACCTACCCCCATTGACCTGCCTGCTCTGTGTCCTAACCCGGGGAGCAATGATAAACGGAGCTGATTGTAATTGTGTTTCTCATTAACAGTGAGATCAGAGTGTGCGGCCCGCAGGCCTGTCACCCCACCCCTCTCTCCTCCCCCCGCGGGGAGCATGGACCCCAGGGCCCAGCGCGTGGCCAGGTACAAAGCCCAGAGACGGCGGGAAGTGGCTGAGAAGTTAGCCCACCTGCAGGAGCCGGTCCTCGTCTCCTGCCCAGCCCCCAGGAGGGAGACAGAGGGCCAGCCTTTGGGAAGAGATTGCTCTGGGGTAGAGAGTGCACAGGACAAGCAGCGGCCAGCGCTTCCCAACCCCCTGGACTCCGAGAGCAACGGGAAGAGCAACAGGAAAACTCCCCCGCCACCCGGGAAGTGGGAGAGCGGGGATGAGGGGTGGACGATAGGGAGAAAGTCCCAGCCTGGACACGGTGACGGTGAGGGAAAGCCGTGCAGCGCTGCCCTGGAGGGTTGGTGCTGCCCACAGGGCTCGGACCTGAGTGAGAGGGAGACCCCGTGCCCCCCGTGCCGGGCCAGGTTAGAGCTGAGCGGAGATAAAGGCTCGCGGGCACCAGCCCTCTATCTCCTGAGATCTGCCTGGTTGGTTTGTGCTCCCAGACCACAGATCACTCATTGCTGCTTGTGATGGTTCCAACCGGTTGCACGTGGCTTACCTGTAGTTCACACACTCGCACACAGACACTCTCACACACAGGCACAGACACGCTTACGTACACAGACACCCCAAATAACATTCAGAACTAGAAATGCAATCTGCCTTTCACTGTGGAGTTTGGGAGAACAACACCTTGAGAAGCATTCAGAAACACAGTCACTAAATCTTACAGGAAAGTCACTTTGTGACAACTGAGCGACGCGAGAGTCTGTCTGTACCCAATAAAGCGAGGGAGGGAATGTGGAGCTGACCGCCCTCCACACTATCACTGTCCGAACAAACAAGGTGATAAGATTGCCTTAATAATCCCATCCCAACCTGAACACGCACTGTTAAGAGGTTATCGGTTTTTATAGAGGTTGAAACACTGCGTGTTCCACAGTCACTGATAGTGCCTCGCACTCAAAGCTACATTATTGCAGTCTCTCTCTGTCTCGCTTTCTCTCCCTGAGGAAAACAGGAACAGGAGGAGGCCATTCAGCTCCTCGAGCCTGTTCCACCATGTTATAAGATCATGGCTGATCGGTACCTCGACTCCAATGACCCGCCCTTGCCCCGTATCCCTTGATACGCTGACCAAACCAAAAATATTTCTCTTACAACAAGAAGAACCTCCCCCACCACCCCCTTCCTCTTCCCTCCCTCACACTCCCTCTCTCTCTCTCCCTCCCAGCTCCGGCAGGAGGACAGTGACATTAAGGCTGGATTTAGCCAGAGCGCCCGAGGCAGGGGGTGACTGGAGCCCGGGTGTCAGTGGGACAGACACGGAGCCCCTCGGCTCCCGGCCCCCAGCCCTGATCCCGAGCTCGAGCGAGACACTGCCTGGGGGGCCAGCAGCAGCTTCATGTCGGTCTGTTCTGAATATTTGATCATTAATTATTAGCGGTGTCGGGAAGATTTTAGTTTTCGCTGAGTGTGAGCGGCGGCGAGTGTGAGCGCGGAGAGTGTGAGGGGCGAGTGTGAGCACAACGAGTGCATGTCACAGTGAATGTGAGCACAGTCATTACACTTTACGCTTCGCAACGACTCAATGATGTGATGAGGCGCTGTGTCAAACACAAGTAACATTATGGTTGTTTCTCTGAGTATATTCTGTGTGTGTGACTGAGCCTGTGTGCTGTGTGTGAGACTGAGCCTGTGTGCTGTGTGTGTGACTGAGCCTGTGTGCTGTGTGTGTGACTGAGCCTGTGTGCTGTGTGTGTGACTGAGCCTGTGTGCTGTGTGTGAGACTGAGCCTGTGTGCTGTGTGTGTGACTGAGCCTGTGTGCTGTGTGTGTGACTGAGCCTGTGTGCTGTGTGTGTGACTGAGCCTGTGTGCTGTGTGTGTGACTGAGCCTGTGTGCTGAGCTGTGTGTGAGACTGAGCCTGTGTGCTGTGTGTGTGACTGAGCCTGTGTGCTGTGTGTGTGACTGAGCCTGTGTGCTGTGTGTGAGACTGAGCCTGTGTGCTGTGTGTGTGACTGAGCCTGTGTGCTGTGTGTGTGACTGAGCCTGTGTGCTGTGTGTGTGACTGAGCCTGTGTGCTGTGTGTGTGACTGAGCCTGTGTGCTGAGCTGTGTGTGTGACTGAGCCTGTGTGCTGTGTGTGTGACTGAGCCTGTGTGCTGTGTGTGTGACTGAGCCTGTGTGCTGTGTGTGTGACTGAGCCTGTGTGCTGTGTGTGTGACTGAGCCTGTGTGCTGTGTGTGTGACTGAGCCTGTGTGCTGTGTGTGTGACTGAGCCTGTGTGCTGTGTGTGTGACTGAGCCTGTGTGCTGTGTGTGTGACTGAGCCTGTGTGCTGTGTGTGTGACTGAGCCTGTGTGCTGTGTGTGTGACTGAGCCTGTGTGCTGTGTGTGTGACTGAGCCTGTGTGCTGAGCTGTGTGTGTGACTGAGCCTGTGTGCTGTGCTGTGAGCTGTGTCTCTGCTCCTGGCGGAGGTGGGTTCTGCTCTGTGTGACCTGACTCTACTTCACTCCCACAGGGACATGTTGCCGAACGCAGACACAGCCGCCCCCCAGAGTGTGCTGATACAAGGTCCAATTGGGTGGGGTCTGTGTAGGTGGGGGGATGGTGTGGGTGGGGGTATGTGGTGGGCCTGTGTGGCTGGGGGTGTAAGGGTGTAGGTGTGTGTGTGGGAGTGGGGCTGTGTAAGTAGGGGGGTGTGAGTGGGGGTGTGTAGGTGGGGGTGTGTAGGTGGGGGAATTGTGTGGGTGTGGTGGGCCTGTGTGGGTGGGGGTTTATGGGTGTGGGTGTGTGAGTGCGGGTGGGGCTGTGCGGGTGGCGCTGTGTAAGTGGGGGTGTGTGGGTGGGGGATGGTGTGGGGGTGTGGGGTGGGCGCTGTTACGCTGAACAGCTTAACTCATTGCTCTTTTACCTTCTGCAGAGGATGAGAAGATGGACGCGAGAGCAAAGCTGAGCGTCGCAGCAAAGATGTCTCTGTTTAAGGTCATTGTGATTTTGTGGAGTTTTGTGGCTGTCAATGTGATCATAAATACAACCAATTCCGAGGTTCACCCGACATGTGTCTGTCCACGAGGCTGTGTGTGTCACTGACGTGTTGTGTGTGTGTCTGTGTGTGTAGGAGCTGGAGAAGACCACGCCTGTGGAGCCTGTGTTGTTATCCCGGCCGAGGAGCAGGAACGCCGCTGTGGAACGCCGGCTACGGAGGCTGCAGGATCGATCGCGGACACAGCCGGTCACCACCGAGGAGATGGTGGTGGTCAACAGGTATGTGAGTGCGTGTGTGAGTGCGTGTGAGTGCATGTGCGTGTGTGAGTGAGTGCGTGTGTGTGTGAGTGCGTGTGTGAGTGAGTGCGTGCGTGAGAGTGAGTGAATGCTGTTGAGTGCTGAGTGAAAGACTTACAAAGCTCTTAGTTGTTGTTGGCTGTTGTGATTCTCTCTGAGGCTCAACGTGAGCGTAAACCATGTGAAACTTTACTCTCTCCGCCGCCAGCCTCCCCAGGGCACCGTCACCGCGGGGGCGGGGGCCGGGGCCGGGGGAGGGGGAGGGGGAGCAGAACGCCGAGCACAGGACGGACGAGAGCTCCAAGCTGAGCTTGCGGCAGAAGATGGCACTGTTTGACGGGCTGTGCCAGCCGCGGGCGGGGAGAGCCGGGCAGGAACAGGGCCGTCGCCACAGACAGGGCGGGGCTCGCTATCACACGCAGCCCATCACCACCTCCGAGGTGCAGCTGGTAAATACGCAGTATTGTTAACGGGAACCGTGCGGTTAATTCGCTGCCTTTAATCGACAGTGGATTTCTGTAGCTCTGGTTAGACCCCTCACCTCGCAAGCCACAGCCCCTGTAGCTCAGGGGTTAGACCCCTCGCCTCGCAAGCCAGAGGACCTGGGTTCGACTCCCGGGCAGGACAGGACGGCGAAATGTTGGGCAAGTTTCCTTACTCCACACTCGCCTTTGCTTACCCATCAGTAAGCAGGAACCCGGTTGTTAGTTGATTGGAGGATCGCTTTCCTGTGGGTCACGATCCCTCCAAAAAAAATAAAAAAAAATTGGTCGCTCAGTCCACAACTGTTCGCCCACAAAACACGCAGTCACTACACTTTACAGTATATGCTGTGAAGCTCTTTGAAACGTCTCAACGAGGTGATACGGCACTGTATCTTGCCTCCTTCAAGACCCATCTCAAGACCCTCCTCTTCGACCGTACCTTCGGTCAATCTCTTTCCCCCCCACTGCCCCTCCACCCTCCCCAATCCCGACCAACCGCAGCTCGGGGTCCGAAACACTGTCTGTCCAGAGCCTTGGGACGTCCTCCCCACGTGAAAGGTGTTTTACACATGGAATTTTGTTGTTGTTGTATCAAATGCTATTATTATTATTATAGATAACACGACTCTCCTGGTTTCAGCTGCAGAAACTTCCGAAACAGCCGATGCCAGTTTGTGCCGACGGGGGGACACAGACACAGGAGGCTGTGAGCAGCCCCCGATCGGCCCCGGGGAGTGAGCCCCAGACTGTGCCGGGTACCGAGCACACGGAGGGAGCTGCAGAGAGCAAACGACAGATTAAAGGCATTCTGAAACGACAGACACCAAGTCAGGACCCCGGCCTCTCGCCCACCACACCCACAGCGCCACTGGCACCTGCACCGGCACAGAGCAGCACCTCACCGGCCCCCCAGCTCCCGGCCCTCCAGCTCCCGGCCCCCCAGGTCCCGGCCCCCCCACTCCCGGCCCCCCAGCAGCCAAACCCCCAGCTCCCGGCCCCCCAGCTCCCGGCCCCCCAGCTCCCAGCCCCCCAGCTCCCGCCCCCCCAGCATCCAAACCCCCAGCTCCCGGCCCCCCAGCTCCCGGCCCCCCAGCAGCCAAACCCCCAGCTCCCGGCTCCCCAGCAGCCAAACCCCCAGCTCCCGGCTCCCCAGCAGCCAAACCCCCAGCTCCCGGCTCCCCAGCAGCCAAACCCCCAGCTCCCGGCCCCCCAGCTCCCGGCCCCCAGCTCCCGGCCCCCCAGCAGCCAAACCCCAGCTCCCGGCTCCCCAGCAGCCAAACCCCCAGCTCCCGGCCCCCCAGCTCCCAGCTCCCCAGCAGCCAAACCCCCAGCTCCCGGCCCCCCAGCTCCCAGCTCCCCAGCTCCCGGCCCCCCAGCTCCCGGACCCCCAGCAGCCAAACCCCCAGCTCCCGGCCCCCCAGCTCCCAGCTCCCCAGCTCCCGGCCCCCCAGCAGCCAAACCCCCAGCTCCCGGCCCCCCAGCTCCCAGCTCCCCAGCTCCCGGCCTCCCAGCAGCCAGACCCCCAGCTCCTGTCCTCCCAGCAGCCAGACCCCCAGCTCCCGTCCTCCCAGCAGCCAGACCCCCAGCTCCCAACCACCCAGCTCCCGGACCCCCAGCTCGCGGCACAGACGGACAGCGAGCGGGAGGAAACCGTAGGAGAGGACTCTGAGCATCACAGAGAGCGAGGGGACGGAGGCGCGGGCGAGTCAGGGGCAGCCACAGTGACGGGTAAGAGATACCGTCACCCACAGGGACATCACGTATATTTGGCACAGCCCTGCTGAGGGTTACACACACACACACACACACACACACACACAACTGCCGTCACTAAAACCCCTTTTCTTTTCATCAGAAACGACAAACTCCGAAGTTCTGACACAAAACGATGTCACAACACAACCAGGGTCACATCAGCCCCCGTCTCCCCCATCCCCACAGCCCCTCTCCCCCTCCCTCTCCCCCCCACACCTCTCCTCCCCCTCCCACTGCCCCCAACTGCCTCTCTTACTCTCTCCGTCGCCCCCACTCCCCCGCATCTCCTCCCCCCCACACCCCCAATCGCCCCTCTCCCCACAGCCCTCCCCCACACAAGTCGGGGAGGTGCTGGGAGCAGGGAGTTTGGTGGCTGGGAAGACAGTGACTGGAGGCAGCAGCGAGGAACAAGCAAAAGCCGAGGTTGACGGGGAGTTATCGCAGCAGCTCCGGACAATGTTTGTGAACAACAGGTAATAATAATAATAATTAATAATCATATAGCAATAATATAATAATACTCTAATAATAAGCTTCATAATATAACAACAATATAATTAATAATAATCATGCTTGCATTCGATACAGCGCCTTATCACGTATTTGAGACGTCTCAAAGTGAGAGGGGGGTGGGGGAGCGGTGGGGAGATTGGGTGGGGGGGAGATGGGGAGGAGGAGTGGGTGGGGGGGGGCGGTTGCGGGGTCGAGCGGGTGCTGACCGCTGGCTGTGTGCAGGCAGAGGGAGCAGGCGAAGAGGGAGCAGCGATGGAGGACTTCACTGAGCCGCAGTAAGAGTGAGCCGGGCGGCCGGCCCCTCGCACAGCGATACGCGCAGCTCCAGGAGTGCGAAGACGCCTGGAAAACAAAGGTAACCCGAGATCTGGGGCTATTACTTCCCGGAAAGCCATCTGCCAGCGAGGAAAATTGCCGAAGGTTTGGCCCTGTCCTGCCTGGGAATCGAACCCGGGTCCTCTCGCTTGGGAGGCGAGGCCAGTAACCACTGAGCACAACTCTTGCCTCAACCACCCTCCCTGGTAAATCCCTCCCCCCACCCCTCCCAACACCCCTCCCCTCCTCACCACCCCCCTTCTCACCCTACCCGCCATTAATTACCCTCCGGGTAAAGAAATATTTCCTGGTGTCTGCTGACACCGTCCTCTGCTGCCCTGACCCCGTGCGTCTCTGAGTCTTGCTCGGTGTTTAATTGGGGTCAGTGATTGATTAATCAGCTGCTATCACACTTGTCCTCTATCGCACCTTTCCTCCGGTCTGTCTGCACATCTTCATGCTTTCCTTCACTCTGTTACTGCAACACGTGTGTAACACGCACACGTAACACCCTACGTGCTCAGCCGGTCCTTTGCTAAACTCTCCTTTCTCTGCTCTGTCTCTGCCTGTCATTTGGCCTAAAGCAGGACGATGGAGGCTCAGACGGTACAGAGTGTCTACAGCAATGGGTAAGGGCAGGAGGTCAGGGAACCCTAACGTCTTCATTTCTGTGCTGAATATTTGTGCGTCTTAGTGCTAAGGGATCTTAGCTCCATTATGTGTATGTTAGACCCGTCACTGTGTGTGTATTACTGACAGTCACTGTGTGTTTGTGTGTGTGTGTTACTTACAGTCACTGTGTGTGTGTGTGTGTGTTACTGACAGTCACTGTGTGTGTGTGTTACTGACAGTCACTGTGTGTATGCTACTGACAGTCACTGTGTGTGTATGTTACTGACAGTCACTGTGTGTGTGTGTGTGTGTGTGTTACTGACAGTCACTGTGTGTGTATGTTACTGACAGTCACTGTGTGTGTGTGTGTGTTACTGACAGTCACTGTGTGTGTGTGTGTGTTACTGAGTCACTGTGTGTGTGTGTGTTACTGACAGTCACTGTGTGTGTGTGTGTTACTGACAGTCACTGCCTGTGTAACTCTCTGGGTCGTGCCTCTCCCATTGCCAGGCTCCTGTCTACTCCTCTCTCTATGTCCCCACTGTGACACAGAGCCTCCATGTTCTGAATCTCCATCAGGTCAGCGCAGCATCAGCATCGCATTCTGTTTTGGTTGTGTGGATATGCACGTGTGCGCGTGCGTGCGTGCCCATGTACATGTGTACATGCGTGTTGTTGGATGTTACCTCACAGCTGCATGTGCTGTAACTGAACTCACGGCAGCTAAACACAGCCCTCGAGCCGGGGTTTGTGCCACATTATTTGCTGCAGTCGTTAAATTGCAACATCCATCGCTCCGATTCTGACACACGTGCTTATGTGACCGTCTCCAAAGCCTGTTCGTTCTCTCCCTCCTCTCTTTCTGTCTCTCTCGCTCCCTCGCTCTCACACAGACACCCACACACACACACACACACACACACACACACAGAGGAGGGTTCAGTGTTGAGCTCAGTGCTGTGCAGGTGAATGCCGCCAGGTGTGTGGGTGGCGGTGTGTGCACACGTACATGACGGTGACGGTGTGTGCACATGTACATGACGGTGAGGGTTTGACGGTGACGGTGTGTTGATGACGGTGTGTGTTTGTCCACAGCGAGCGCGGACGGAGGTATCGGCACAGCTGACAGTGGAGGAGAGGAAGCGGCTGATGACCAAGCGGGAGGAGGAGTGGAAATGTCAGGGCAAAGGGGCGGCAAACGACTCGGGACAGTTCACAGTCGCCGGCCGCATGGCCAGTAAAGGTCCGTCCATGTTCCTCTGCCCCCCCCTCCCCCACTCGCTCCCTCGTGTACCCAAACCACCGCACAGGCTGACTTGTGTTGTATGCGTCTGTGCGCGCGCATGTGTGTGTGTGTGTGCACGCGCGTGTGTGTGTTTGTGTGTACCTGTGCTCGGTGCTGGTGACTAACGTGCCTGTGTTTGAACGCAGGCCTGGTTTCCCCCAGTGGGCGTGAGGAGCCAGCCCCCACCTTTAAGAAAGTTGACCCAGCGGCCGGCACCCTCAGCCCCCCCCTGACAGGTAGGCGTTTGATCTTCAGGGATTCACTCACTCGCTCACTCGCACGCTCACTCACTCACTCACACTCACATTCGCTCGCTCACTCACTCGCACACTCACTCACGCGCTCACTCACTCACGCGCTCACTCACACGCACATTCACTCGCTCGCTCACTCACTCGCACACTCACTCACGCGCTCACTCACTTGCGCACTCACTCGCGCACTCAATCACTCGCACACTCAACACTCAATCACTTACACACTCACTCGTATGCACACTCACTTGACACTGGTTCCAGTGTGCACAAGTGCATGAGTGTGAGTGAATATGAGCAAGTGCAATTGAGTTGAGTTGTACTGAGCCCCAGGTTTGCTCTGAGCTGTGGAAATGGTTGAATTTACACTGTTCACAAATGGGCCGATTGGGATTGGGAATAGGTTTGGAAATGGGATTGGATTTGGGAATAGGATTGGGATTGGGAATGTGAGGTGATCGCCGTTATGATGCCTCCCGATGGTTCCCGCAGAGATCGCCCGCCTCCCTGACCAGCCCGTGGAGAGCGACGAGGGTCTGGACAAACTGGAGTCTTTCCTGAACCGGCTTCACACCAAGAGTAAGCGTCTCGTTTACCACCTTCACCTCTGTTTGATCTTCAGTCACCTGCTCGCACTCCTCCGCTTTCACACTCGTCCGCTCGCACTCATCTGAGGGGCTGGTACCATCCAATACATGACCCGGACCATCCCCCTCGGCACTGGTTACTGCGGTAATCAGGAGCCTCGTCCCTCAGGAGCCTTGGCTTCTCCGAACCAATCATTTACAGTTGAGACAGAGTGAGAGAGAGAGCGCGAGAGAGACATGTAGCCCAGGGAGGCCACCGCTGGCACTAACCCTCGCTGTGTGTCACAGCTGCAGGTCACCGGGAGACGACCCTGGAGGTCACAGCACAGACGGTCAGGGAGGTCATGCGCCCAGACGATGAGGAAACGTTCTGCAGGTTTTACCGTCCGCCATCAGCGATGGTCACGGGCAGCCCCACGGACATCAGCCAGAGCTTCGACCTGATTCTGGACAGCGGCTCAAACAGGTACGTCTCGGGGATTGGCTCAGTGCTAGTTACCCCCAAAATCTTGCTGCGTGTGTTATAATGAGCTCTGTATTGACAGGCTGACGTCAGAGATGGCGGAGCACAGGCGCTCGGTGAGGCCGTTGAGAAGGACGCAGTCCTCCCGGAACCCTCTGCGAGCGCTGGCCGCCCGGGAGGACCTGCGGCAGGAGTACACCGAGCTGCGGCTCAACGTGGCAAGCGTGGAGGCCGAGAGGATCCGAGCGGAGAAACGTGAGTGCAGCGAGAGACATTCCACTCCCCGCCGCCTGCCGTTCTCTCCCTGGCAAGCGACAAGCTGCCCTTGCATCCTGCGCCCACCAGGTGGTAGCCTGGCTATGCCGGTCGCACTCTCTCTTGCCTCCTGAGTCCGAAGATAATAATAATAATAATCCTGGCATTTGACCCGGCGTCTTCGAGACGTCTCAAAGAATATACTGTAAAGTGTAGTGACTGTATGTTTCGTGGGCAAAACGCGGCAGCCAATTGCGCACAGCAGCGTCCCCCACAAACAGAGAGATTGTGCGACCAAATTATTGTTATTATTGGACTGCGATTGTGGTTGGGGCTGAGCGTGGGTTGTTGTGCAGTTAGTGACGTGTGGGGGGGGTCTGTGTGTTGACAGTGGCCAAACACTCAACGTTCTCGGACACGGCTCTGGCTGGGCTGGCGAGCAAGGAGAACTTCCAGGAGGTAAACCTGCGCAGTGTGCGGGGCTCAGGAGTCCCCTCCCACCACCACAAGGTCACGCTGATACAAGTCAAAGGTAATCGCTTGCTTCTCGGCCTCACCACGGCGTTCGGGGCGGGGCTCCGAGCGGGGAAAGGCTTCATAATATTGGGGGAGGGGCACCGGGGAGGGTGTGTTGGGCACCACAGCACAGGACTGTGGTGGGTGGGGTGGAGGAGGGTGGGTGGGGGCAGGTAGCGCCGTTTTCCAATACTCTCCTGGTAATGGTTATCACATAGGAATGGGAGGAGGCCATTCAGCCCTCAAGCCTGTTCCGCCATTCTATGAGATCCTGGCTGATCTGGACCTCAAGTCCAATGGGTCCCGGCCTTGTCCCATATCCCTCGATCTGCCGACCTCACGAACATCTCCACCTCAGTCGAGTTTGAGGCTCTTTTGACAGCGATCTCGCCACCTCCGTGTTGAATCACACTGGTTGCCCCCCCACCCCCATCCCCGCCACCCCCACCCCCCGTCGGTGAAACGCTGTTTGCCGATCGGCAGTCCTATGTTTGTGGTGGTCTCTCCGGCAGGTCGCCGGCATGTACAGAGCCGCTCGGTGGAGTCCAGCGCCCACTCCCTCAACAGCGGCGACTGCTTCCTGCTGCTCGCTCCCCGACACTGCTTCCTGTGGGTGGGCGAGTTCGCCAACGTGATCGAACGCTCTAAGGTTAGTCACTCGGCAGCTCGGCACCGCAGTTACCTCCCAGGGCTGTGCCGGGCACTGGCTCTCCTCGTGGCTTTACCCGTCTCTCTCTCTACACCTGTCATGTGGTGTCCTGTTTCACTCCAGAAACCTCAAACCTTCTCTAACAACGTACCTTCATCTCTTTGCCAACGTCTCTGTCCGCACATGTGGCTCCCACTGGAGCTCTTCTGCTCTAACGCCGTTCCCTGCTCTCTCCCCGTCGTGTCTGTGCTGGGGCTCGCTCCCCCTACACTGGAGCTCTCTACTCTAACCCCATTCCCTGCTCTCTCTCCCCCCCCCGGTGCTCGCTCCCTGTGTGCAGGCCTCTGAGTTGGCCACCTATATCCAGAGGAAGAGAGACCTTGGCTGCCAAGCACCTCATGTCACGGTGATTGAGGAGGGAATCAACAGCGAGAGCCCACAGAGCCGGAAATTCTGGGAACTCCTTGGTGGCCAGACTGAATATCAACGTAAGAGGGTCACTGCTTACTGGGTCACTGGGTTAGCGGTTACTGGGTCACTGGTTACTGGGTTAGCAGTTACTGGGTTAATTGGGTTACTGATTGTTGGGTTACTAGTTAATAGTTACTTGGTTACTGAGTGGCCTGGACAGCAAGTTGGTGTTGACTGCCCTCCCGGTATGAAGGACATGAGTAATTTGTTGTTGTTGTTGTTGCTGTGGCTGTAGTTGCCGGGGAGCCGGAGGAGGACGAGGTGTACGAAGCCGCGGTCACGGAGACAAACTGTGTTTATCGTCTGCGGGAGGACAGACTGCTCCCCGACACCCAGGCCTCGGGGAGCGTCCCTCGCTGCAGCTTACTGTCCCCCACACAGGTACCCGTCCTCACTCACACAGCAGTGTGGGGGGAGAGTGTGAGCGAGTGTGTGTGAGAGCAAGTATGTGTGTGTGACTGTGTGTGTGAGTGTGTGTGCGTGTGTGTGTGAGAGTGTATGTGTGTGTGATTGCGTGAGTGTGTGTGAGTGTGTGTGTGACTGTGTGTGTGACTGTATGTGTGACTGTGACTGTGTGTGACTGTGAGAGCGAGTGTGTGTGTGTGTCGCTGTGAGTGTGTGTGAGAGCGAGTGTGAGTGTGACTGTGTATGTGTGTGAGTGAGTGTGAGCGAGTGTGTGTGCGTGTGTGTGAGAGAGCAAGTATGTAAGTGTGTGTGATTGCATGTGTGTGTCTGTGTGAGTGAGTGTGTGTGAGTGTGTGCCTGTGTGAGAGCGAGTGTGTGAGTGTGTGTATGACTGTGTGTGTGTGTCGGTGCTGACGGTATGTTGCCCAGCAGGTGCTGGTGTTTGACTTTGGCAGTGAGGTGTACGTGTGGCACGGGCGGGAGGTGCCTGTGGGGCAGCGGAAGTTGGCGACGGAGTTGGGGAAGCAGCTGTGCGGCGTTCCCTACGATTACAGCCGTTTCCCGGTCAATCCACTGAATCCCGGAGCCCGGCCGAATGGGGCCCCAGCGTGAGTCAAGCATTCGGAAAACCTTCGCTAACCGTCTGTCTACGGTATTCCTGTCCAGTCCGTGCGCTGTGCTCGGCATTCCTGGTGCTCCGTGTCCCATTCCCGGCATTTCGTGCACCGTTGCCGGGCTGCGCTTCTTTGCGCTGTGTTGACCTCACCGTAACTTGGCCACTGTGTTTGTGGTGTGTGTGTGATGTGTGTGGTGTGTGCATGCATGGCGTGTGTGTATGTGCATGGTGTGGTGTATGTTGTGTGTGCGCGTGGTGTGTGTGTGCGTGCGTGGTGTGTGTGTGCGCGCGTGGTGTGTGTGTGCGCTTGGTGTGTGTGCGCGTGGTTGGGGTGTGTGTGTGCGTGGTGTGTGTTTTGCAGGCTGGGGCCGGCGAGGCCAGGCTGGGTGACCTGCGTGCGTCTGGCCGAACACAACGAGACGATCCTGTTCAAGGAAAAGTTCCTGGACTGGACGGAATGTCGGGGTTCCCTGCATCGGGAGCCGGAGAGCGCCGGGGAATCAAAGGTAAAAGGGAAAGCGCCGCCGGGCGAGGAATTGATGGTGGAGGCGAACTGGGAACGCTAATCCTTTCCGCTTGTTCACCTGATCTCTGCGCCAGGGAGACCGGGAGCTGGAGCTGAGCCCCTGTGACGCCCGGACGCTCCTCCCGGGTCCCGGGAAGCCGCCGGGAATGCTGCTGGAGGGGGTGGATGTGCGACGAGGCTACGGCAAGGTGTCGCTGGGGGAGGGCAGGGCGGCTGAGGTCAGCACCGTCGCTGTGAGGGTCTGGCACGTTGCTGAATGCGAGCACCGCCCCCTGTCCCCCGAGAGCCACGGACAGCTCCACGAGGCTGATACCTACGTGGTTCACTGGCGATACACGGTGACCAGCCTGGGTACGTCTCTCCCTCTGGGTCTCTATCTCTCTCTGTCACTCTCTGTCTCTCTCGGGCACTCTCTCTGTCTTTCTGCTCAGTCATTCGCACCCCATCTCTCTCTGTGTGTCTCTCTCTGTGTCTCACTCTGTGTCTCTCTTTGTGTCACTGTGTCTCACTGTTGCACTCTGCAACTCTCTCACTTTATGTACTTCTGTCACTCTGTCTCTGTGCCGTGTCTCTCTGTGCCGTGTGTCTGACTGTGCCGTGTGTCTCACTGTGCCGTGTGTCTGTGCCGTGTCTCTCTGTGCCGTGTCTCTCTGTGCCGTGTCTCTCTGTGCCATGTCTCACTGTGCCGTGTGTCTGTGCTGCAGTTTCCCGGCGCGGTGCTGACCAGTGCGGAGCCCAGGCTCTGGGGAAGGAGAGAAGCTGTTACTTCTTCTGGCAGGGCCGTGCGTCCAGCACCGGGGGGAGGGCAGCAGCCGCGCTGGTCACCGTGGAGCTGGGGAAGGAGAGCGAGGCCCAGGTAACAGCAACCCCCTCGCCAGCACCGTCACCCACACCCCGGTTACTGCATCGCGCACACACACACGCATACTCCCAACTTAACCATATCCCGGCCTCACAACGGGGTGGGGGAAGGGTGGGTGGGGGGGGTGGGGGTGGTGCAGTCTGTGGATCTGTGTTACTCTAATCCCTGTTAATTTGATGGTCCCCAGGTGCTGGTGTCACAGGGAAAGGAGCCCCCCTGCTTCCTCCAGCTGTTCCGGGGAGCGATGGTGGTGCACGCCGGCCACAGGGAGGCACTCAGGAGCCCAGGTTTGCGTCCGTCACCATGTGGGGGTGAGGGGGCGGGCGGCTGTGCGGGTGGCGAGGTTGGTGAGAGGGGATTGGGGTGTGGAGCTGTGCCAAGTGGGGGATCACCCACTTTCTCCCTCTCTCTCTGTGTCTCTCCCAGGCCCCTGGCGGCTGTACCTGGTGCGGGGGGAGTTGGCCGAGGAGGGGGCGCTGCTGGAGGTGGGGTGTGCGTGTGCCAGTCTGCGGTCACGGGCATCGCTGGCGCTGGTCAGCGCGGAGCGTGGCCGCCTTGTCCTGTGGCACGGCAGCAAAGCCCTGCCCAGCGTCAGGGCCGTGGCTCACACCGCCTGCCAATGGCTGACTGAGCGGTGAGTGCCAAGGGGGCGCGGGGGGTGGGGGGTGGAGTGGGGGAGCATGGGGCTTGGAGGATGGTGCGGGGCGGGTGTGGGGAGGGGACGGCCGGATGAGCTCTGACATGCTCTCCGCTCGCTCTGTTCCCCGGCAGACGGCCCCGGGAGCTGGGGGAGTGGTGCCGGGAGGCGGTGTCGGTCACGGAGCTGGAGGAGGGGGCCGAGACGCCGGAATTCTGGGTGGCGCTGGGTCAGGAGAACCGCACAGCGTACGACTGTATGTTACAAGGTAACGCGTCGCTCTTCTGGCACCTCAACAACTCCAATGCCTCCCCACCCCTCCCACCACCACCCCATGCCCCCACGCGACACCCTGACCCAACGAACACAATCCTCTCCGCATCGGGAATGTTTCCCGGCCACCATCGCCCGGACAGGCACTGACCGGGATGAGCTGGAGACCTGCAAGTGAGCCTTGACTAAACGTCCCGTTGCTTCTCTCCCCCCCCTCCTCCCCCTCTCCCGCACCCCCCACCCAGATCCCGGGAGGTGTAACTTCACGGTGCGGCTGTTCAGGATGAGCGCGGCTTCAGGGCAGTTTGCGGTGACGGAGCTGGTGAGCCCGGTGCGAGATTCCGGCACGGTAACCACGATGCCTTTCCTACAGGAGGATCTGTATTGCGTCCCCCAGCCAGGTCAGTAATAACAAGGTGGTCGCTGACTCCACAACTGGGGGGGGGGACGTCGCTTTGCACAATTGGCTGCTGTGTTTTGCCCCCAAAATACGCAGTCACTACACTTTACAGTGAAGTCTGTGAAGCGCTTTGAGACATTGTGAAGGTGTGATAAGCCGTTGTATCAAATACAGGGATTATTATATTATTATTATATATTATGTTATTACTATTGTTGTTCTATATTATATTATTGTTGTTATTATTATATTATTATTGATATTATATTATTGCTATTATTGTTGTTATATTATTATTGTTATATTATTATTTTATTATTATTGTTATTATATTATTATTGTTATTATATTATTGTTATGTTATTGTTATTCTATTCTATTATTGCTATATTATTGTTGTTATTATTTTATTGTTATATTATGTTGTTATTAGTGTAACTGGTGCCGTGTGTTTTGGTACTTGTAGCTCTGTTCCTATTGGATAACCATCTGGAGGTGTATGTGTGGCACGGCTGGTGGCCGGAGAGTGAGATCACCGGCTCCGCAAAGCTCCGGTGGGACGCGGAGAGGAGGTGTGCCCTGGAGACCGCCCTGCAGTACTGCTCAGGTCAGACCCCCACCAACACCCACCCCACCACCCCAATAATCACCATTGACCTCCATCCCCAACAGCTCTGACTGAGATCTTTGTCTCCAACAGTGAAGAATCCCAACCACCCTCCACAGGGCTATGTGGTGCTGGCCGGCTCCGAGCCCCTCATCTTCACCAACACCTTCCCTCGGTGGGAACCCGGAGCCCAGGTACCCGTTCGCCACACCCTTCCCCCGCCCTCTCCTCCCCCGCAGCCTCTCTCTCCCTCAGCCTCCCCCCAGTCGCCAGGTACCCGCTCGGTCAGGACCTGCGCTCGCCCCTCCCTCTCTTCCCCTCACCTCCCCTCCCTCTCCTCTTCTCCCCTTCCTCGCCTCCCTCCCCCACTCTCATCCCCACCCTTCCCTCCCCCAACTCCGCTTCCCCCCATACTCCCCCTCCCTTGCATGATTGCTCTCTCTCTCGTGGTGGGTGGCAGTGGGTGAACCTGGGGGTGCACTATCTGCCCACGTAAATGTTGTGTCGTGTAGTGTAAGCCTGTGATTGCCCTCAGACACAGCAGGGCAAGGGGAGCAAGGCGGTGCTGGTGCAGGACGCCCTGAGACGCTTGTGTAAGACCCGGTACAGCCGGGAGGAGATCATGAGCAGACCTCTCCCCGAGGGCGTGGACCCCCACAGGCTGGAGACGTACCTGAATGATGAGGATTTTCTGGTGAGTGTGTGTGGGCGCTGGGCAGTGCCAACTTGGTGTCTGGGCACCGTGGTGGGTGTGGCCGGGTCTCCTTGGAGCTGAACTGGCTCCAAGGTGAAGGGCCGACCAGTCACTGGGGACAGGGAACCCTGCAGCCAAAGCTCTAACCAACGGCTGGGGTGGTCCTCGCCTGGCCAGGCAGCGCTCGCAATGGCCAAGGTGTGTGTGGGTTTAGCTGGTTAGACTCCAGCAGTTACCCCAACACGCACTCTGGGCTCCCCCCACACCCAAGTCTTGGCTCTTGCCCAACCTGCGCCTAATACTCTCCGGAATTCGGTAAAGCAGGATGTGTTCCTCCAGAGAGAGAGAGGGAGCGCATCCCATTCCAACAATCTATTGCTGGTATTGCCATTTGTAGGTGTGAGGCCTGGAATTCTCAGCTTGGTTTGGAGACTCTTAAGCAACGGTGATGGGTTTCTACAAGTGTCAGACACCAGGCTCGCCGAAAATAAATGTGCCCGTCACATTATACCAGGGTCCCTGGTTCAGGACAAAGCCTCACACTTCCCTCCTGCTTTTCCCTCACAGCAAATCCTGGCCATGACCCGGGAGGAATTTTACCAACTTCCCGGCTGGAAGCAGATCAACTGGAAGAAGAGTAAAGGCTTGTTCTGATCGGCCTCACCGGGAAGCTGGGCTTGTGTCATTGGTTACACAGTGCCTCAGCCTCAACCCCCATCTCTCTCTCTCTCCATCTCTCTCTCTCTCTCCATCTTTCTCTTCATCTTTCTCTCTTTCTGAGGTAACACTATAGGGACTGATTGCACTTTTTAAACAAACTTTCTCCCTGTTTTTATGCTAGGAAAATATTAAAAGTGGAAATGTTGCTGCTGAAATCCTGGGATTTGTCACCCCGATTGGTCTAAAGGGGATCGGGATTAGTGAGCTCCAGTCAGGGAGGGAAGCAGGAAGGGAGGGAGCACCAGCACAGACACCATAGCTCTGCGATTTCTGCTTATTTTAAGATTATTTTACTGCAGTCTGAAGTCTTTTATATCTAATAATCTTTTAGATCCCCTGGTTTACAGTGGGTGAGGTGGGGAGGGGGATATGGTGGGGGGGGGGGGCAACATGGGGGTGGGGAGAGGCGCTTGGGGGGGCAACATGGGGGTGGGTGGGTAGGGAGCGTATATTCCCAGGCACTGATTAACTCTCTAGAACCTGCCTATCTCTGCTCCCGGCACATCCACAGCCTGGAGCTGCCTCCCTCACCCCCTCCCTCCTTCCCTCATGCTGCCTTCTCCCTCCCTCCCTCCCTCCCTCCCTCACCCTCCCCTTCCCTCATCCTGTCCCCTCCCTCTCACTCTGTGCTTTACAATGTGGGATGAGCTCTTGCTCCCAGGATTGTCCCTGGCGTCCGTGTGCTGTTGTACTGTGAGCGCAGAGTACGACGCCAAACGAGTTGAGATTGTCTCTGTCTAATGTACAGTTTCACTTTGCTTTTACTGCCTTTCTGGGAAGTTCTGTATTAAACTGGATGGAAAAATCTGCTGGATTTTTGTTTCGGGGGTGGGGGGGCGTGGAGGGATTACTGGGGAAACATCGTGCTGTCACATGGCATCTGTGAGCTGGAGAAAGAGTTTGGGAAATGTGGGGGTGGTGTAAGGGCCTTAATAATAATAATCCCTCCAAAATCTAGATAATATATAGACCAATAATAAATTGGTCATTTTCAATCTACGACACTTTGTGGGACATTGCTGTGCGCAATTGGCTGTCGCGTTCGCCCAGAAATATACAGTCAATTCACTTTACAGTGTGTTCTGTGAAGCGCTTTGGGACGTCCTCCCAACGTGAAAAGCGCTATATCAAATGCAAGGATTATTATTATTATTACGATGACGGCAGAGAGACACATAGACAGGAGCCACCGAACAAAACCTTTATTGATCTGTACAAACACAGGCTGGTGGGGTGAGAAGGCACATTGGTAATGTGGGGGGGGGGGGTTGGGGGGGAGTGAGTGATTTACTATAATACAACAACTTGCCCCGTCACTTAGGGGTGACTTCCCGGAGCGCTTGAATACAAAATACAGACGACGGGAACACTGCAGGCAGCCCTGATGCTGAGCCAACAACATGAATGGGCGGCTGGCACGTGATATCGCCTGTTTGTCACGCTTTGCACATGCGTGTGCCGCCCAGGCAACCTCCCAACACACTAGGAGGTCGGCCAGTCCCCCCCTGGTGGCAGCGAGGAGATACTGCAGCGGTTATCCCTTCCTTCCTGCCCTGCCCCCCATCCCACAGGCTCAGCCGGCGGGGTGGGTGGGGGGGGGGGGGCGAGGCTGGGGTGCGGTTAGATGATGTGGGTGGGGCTAGCCAGGGTGGGCGGGCCTGGGCAGTGCAGGTGTGGTCAGGGGGGTGGGGCTAGATAGTGTGGCTGTGGTCCGGGGTGGATGGTGTGGGTGTGGTTGGGGCGGGGCTGGATAGTATGGGTGGGGCTGGGTGGTGTGGTTGTGGTCAGGGCGGGGCTGGGTGGTGTGGGCGGGGCGGGGCTAGATGGCCTGCTCCTGGCGGAAGCTCCCGCAGCCCAGCAGGGTGTGCTCGGGCTCGCTGGCCAGGGCCGCCTCGCGCAGCACCGCCATGTGCTCCTCCGCCATCAGCAGCGACTCGTCAATCCAGTCCCGGCTTCCCGTCATGTGACACACGTTCCTGGTCACCAGCACCAAGTGGCTGACCGACAGCAACAACGCAGCCGCCCTGTCAACAACAACAACAACAGCTCAGCCGCCTGTCAACAACAACAACAAAAACGACAGCTCAGCCGCTCTGTCAGCAACAACAACAACAACAACTCAGCCACTCTGCCAACAACAGCAACAAAAACAACATCAGCTCAGCCGCCCTGTCAACAACAACAACAGCTCAGCCGCCTGTCAACAAAAACAACAACAGCTCAGCCGCCCTGTCAACAACAACAACAGCTCAGCCGCCTGTCAACAACAACCACAACGCAGCCGCCCTGTTACCAACAACAACAACAACAGCTCAGCCACCTGTCAACAACAACAAAAACAACAACAGCTCAGCCGCTCTGTCAACAACAGCAACAACAACAGCTCAGCCGCCCTGTCAACAACAACCACAACGCAGCCGCCCTGTTAACAACAACAACAGCTCAGCCGCCTGTGAACAACAGCAACAACGCAGCCGCTCTGTCAACAACAACAACAGCTCAGCCGCTCTGTCAACAACAACAAAACCGCTGCTCTGTAAACAACAACAACAACAATCGCCCTGTAAATAATCGCCTGGTCAGGAACTCGCTCACCAGGTACGGGCAGCTTCACACACACACACACAGCGCTCACTCACACAGCACTTTATATCACACAGCTCGGAACATGCAGCGCACACTCACACAGTGTCCACCATCAAGTGTGCAGCACACATACACTCACTTGCTCACACACACTCACTCGCACACTCTCTCAGCGCTGTGTGAGCGCGAGGTGGCGGCTGGACTGACCTGGCATCGAGGAGCTTGGGGTCCAGTGGGGGATACATGGAGCGAACAACATCATCCACCCTGCGGATAGAGAGACGGAGAGGGAGGGAGTGAGTGAGTGAGCGACACACGGCAAGTCGGGCACACACCCAACTGGTTACTCACAACGATCACCAATTGCTGGTTACTGTGAGGGTGTGGGAGGGGGAGAGGGTGCGGGGCGAGAGGGTGTGGGAGGAGAGAGCGTGGGGTTGAGGGTGGGGGGGTTGTGTCTGAGTGCGTACAGGGGGATGCCGTCTCTCACCGGGGGCTGATTCTCTTGGCCACCACGATGATGTCACTGAGCCGGGCTGGAGTTTTTATCTTGGCTCCCGATCCCATCGTCATGGCCACCAGCTTCTCAGTCAGAGTGTGACAGATCTACAACAACAACAACAACAGGTTGGGATCAGTGGGAGGGACACCCAGATCCCGGGGTTCTAATTGTTACAGAGACGGACATTCCCGCCTCAGCTTCATTACAATCGTACAATCTTACAGCACAGAAAGAGGCCATTTGGCCCATCGTGCCTGTGCCGACTCTTTGAAAGAGCTTCCAACTAGCCCCACTCCCCCGCTCTTACCCCAACCAGTCCCACTTCCCCGCTCTTACCCAACTAGTCGCACTCCCCCACTTTTACCCCAACTGGTCCCACTCCCCCGCTCTTACCCAACCAGTCCCACTCCCCCTCGCTTACCCCATAGCCCTCCACATTTCCCTGTTTAACTACCGACCTGATTCCAATTCCCTTTTGAAAGCTATTATGGAATCTGCTCCCGACAGCCTTTCAGGCCGTGTGTTCCAGACCGTAACAACTCTCTGGGTGAAAAAAAAGAATATCTCTTCTCGTCTCCCCTCTGGTTCTTTTGCCAATTATCTGGAATCTGTGTCCTCTGGTTACCGACCCCCACCCTGGCCAGCCCGCCCGCCCGCCAGAGGAAACAGTTTCTCCTGATCTACTGTATCAAAACCCCAGCCCAGCACAGCTTACCTTCAGAATCTCAATGCAATGTGACACCAGCCCCCTGAAACACAGAGCACACACCATGGTTACACATATCATGCACACGCCACACACACAGACCAAAAACACACGCACGACACACACACACATACGCACATGCGACTGATGGACACACACACACTGTATCTCGGAAACTGACACACTACGTACGAGGCGTCCTGTACCCAGTCCTCACTCTCCAGAATGGCCTCGATGTGAGGGTTGGTGATGACGACATCATCCAATTCCAGCTCCGAGGGTTCGCTCTGTGTCTCCATCGCCCCGATCAGGTCCACAGTGGGTCTGTGAAGCGAGAGAGAGTGAGAGTGAATGTGTGTGTGAGAGAGGGGGGGGGGCTGGTTAGTGAGGAGCCTAAGGATTAGGGTTTGAGAGTTAGCGAGGGGTAGGGGGAAGAGACTGGTTAGCGAGGGGGGGCGGGTGGGGGGGAACACTGACTTGCAGTCGAGCAGGTGCAGGGGTGACTGGTTAATGGAGATGGGGAGGCTGGTTTGGACGGGATCACTGACTTGCGGTTGAGCTGGTGCAGGGGGGTGGGGGTGGAGCTGGGTAGGTGATGGAAGGCTGGTTAGGGACGGGGGTGGCTGGTTAGGGAGGGGTGGAGGAGGCTGGTTAGGGAGGGGAGAGGCTGGTTAGGGAAGGGAGAGGCTGGAAGGGAGGGGGGAGAGGGGTTGGCTGGTTAGGGAGGGTGGGGAGAGGCTGCTTAGGGAAGGGGTGTGGCTGGTTAGGGAGGCAGGGGGAGGCTGGTTAGGGAGGTGGGGTGAGGATGGTTAGGGAGGGGCATGTGGCTGGTTAGGGAGGCGGGGTGGCTGGTCAGGGAAGGGTGGCACTGACTTGCAGTCGAGCTGGTGCAGGGGGTGGCTGGGTTGGCAGTAACGGTGGCGACACACGACCACGAGAGCCACGAACGAGGCCAGGAAGATTGTGGCCAAAACGCCGATGGCGACGATCACCACCATCTCCATGGCAACTGCTCCCCGTTCACACTCCTTCCTCTCCCGTCATCCCCACCCCCTGAAACAACAACAACAATAACAGCTGCTCAGTCTGACAACCTGGCCTTAATGTTCTCCCTGTGCTGTTGGAAATAGAGCCGAGAGGTGTCACTGTGTCTGGGATCAGGATCTGGGATGCTCCCCCCTAGCTCCCCCCCGTCTCCCCATCAGGAAGCTGAGGCTGACTGGAGCCTCCGCCCCGGCTCAGTTCGGGAGTTTATGGCTAAGGAAAGTCTCTGCGCCCAACCCCCGCCTCGCTCACTCACTCGCTCGCTCGCTCACACCCAGACCTCGATCACTCGCTGATCACACAATCCCTGCCCTCGGCCACAGTCTCACACACCAGGGAGCAGGCCTGTGATGGTCAGGGGACATTCATTGATTGATTGATGAACATGGATTATATTGATCATCCGCAAGATACAGTCAATCAGTTCACTTCACAGTGTATCCTGTGAAGCGCTTTGAGCTCTCGACGACGTGATAAGGTGCTGCGTCAAAGGCAAAGATTATTGTTATTATATTGGTGTCGGCGTGCGGGCTCAGACTTACCTATGCCCGGCCTGGCTGGCTCTGGGCTGGGCTCTGGCTCTGGCTCTGGGCTACAACAGGCTCCAAAGTCCAACCGGAGGAGGTTGTAAAATGATTATTTGTCTCCAGTCAAAGGTGGAATTTAATCTGCACCATGAGGTGTCTGGTTGTCATAGAGATGCTGGGGTGGGGGGTTGGAAAAGGGGGAAACAAACACTGACATGGAAACACTTCACCATCACCAGGTGCTGATATCCGTTCGTCAGCGACTGAGCACCCACACTTGTCACGGGGCCTGGAATGTCGCAACTTCTCAAAGCGCCCGGCAAGGAATGGCGGACACCTGCTGCGCGCAACTGGCTGCCGCGTTTCGCCCACAAAATACACAGTCACTATACTTTACAGGGTGTTCCCGCGAAGTGCTTTGAGACGTCTCAACGACACGATAAGGCGCGGTGTCAAATGCCAGGATTATTATTAATTATTATCGAACGGCTGGTGGAAACAGATTTGATAACAGCTTTCAAAAGGGAAATAGATTTAGATAGGTACTTAAAAAGCAAGGCTAAATGTGCAGGGCTAGTTGGGGGTAAGAGTATGGGGGTAAGAGTTTGGGAGTGGGGCGAGTTGGTAGCTCTTTCGAATGACCTCCTTCTGTGCTGTAAGATTGTAGGATTCTCTGCTGCTTGGGGGGTGGGCGGGGAAGTTGAGGGGCCCGAGAGGCAGAGAGAGAGAGCGAGAGAGAGAGACCTGCTCAGGGTGTGTGTGAGCAGCCGTGTCAGCCAGAGCCAGAGCTCAAGCCTGGCACAGACACCGTACTGGGGAGAGCCCGGTCCTCCCAGCACAGCACAGCACAGAACCTCTCTCACACACACACACTCTCACTCATCACTCAGATACAAACTCACTCTCACAATACACACACACTCACTCGCACACACTCAGGCTATGTAGAGAAAGCTTACTTACGCTGCCTGGCTGCTGTGATTCAGACACACAGACGCAGAGACAGGAGAAAGAGAGAGAGCGAGTGATGATGTAAAACGAGGGGATGGAGAGGGATGGAAACAGGGCAATGAACTGTACAGGAATTCCTTAATAGGATCAAGGCACAATCCCAGCCCCTCCCCCAGCCAGCTCCCCTGAACCAAACACATCCTTGCCTCCCCCCACCCACCTCTCTCTCTCCCCTCCTCTCCCGCTCCTTCTCGCAGTCACTGTGCCCCGCAGTGTGTCTGAAGCATTCGGTGCATGTCTGCCACTCCTGCAGCAGCAAGTTGTCCAATGCCTGAGCAGACATGCAGTAAGCTGCAGTGCAAGGAGGGAATGTGTTCTCAACAATCCCCCACCCCACCCCCCCACACCCCCAACACACACACATCCCTACTCAAGCCCAGACTGAAAGCCTGAACTGCAGGTCTCTGATTAGTACAAATCTTAGCTAAGGCGCTCAGAGGGTGTGGGCACAAGGTATATAGGAACAGTAGGAGGCCATTCAACCCCTCAAGCCTGTTCCGCCATGCTATAAGATCATGGCTGTTCTCGACTCCAATTACCTGTCTTTGCCCCGTATCCCTTGATACCCTGACAACAACAAAATGACATTTATAGAGCGCCTTTCACGTCGGGTGGACGTCCCAAAGAGCTGAAGTCAGATGTCGGGGCCCGAGCATGGGGGAGGGGGTGGGGTGGAGGTGTGAGGGAAGTCAGAGAGCTGGGAGGGAGACCAGAGGCACGGTCGAAGAAAAGGGTCTTGAGACCGGCCTTGAAGGAGGCGAGGGAGGAAGCGAGGCGAAGGGGCCCCACAAACATCTACCCACCTCAGTCTGGACAGTGTGAATGGATGAAGTGGAGTGGCGGGGGTGGGGTGGGGGGCGGTACAAACACTGTGTGCGTGAGAGCAGCATAATTGCACCACTTTACAGAAGTCAGTTATAACCAGAGGATCCCAGGCTTGTTTTCCCCCACCCGTCCCCGAGTCAGGAAGTTGGGGTTTACACCTCCCCTCGCATCGGGAACTTTGAGCTCCCGGTCCAGGCTGACACACGGTGAGCAGGATTGCTGCCCCTTCACCAGGACAGACTCCCAAAGGCACCCTGTCACCAGGTCTCAGCAACAACAGCTTGTATTTACATCGTGTCCTTCACTTGGGGCAGCGTCTGAGCAGCTATTGTAATAAAAATAATTCTTGCACTTGATACAGCGCCTCATTACACCCTTGAGACGTCTCAAAGCGCTTCACAGGATGCCCTGTGTAGTGACTGTGTATTTTGTAGACGAACCTTGACAGCCAACTGCGTGCGCAGCAGTGTCCAAAAAACAGTCGTGGAGTGAATGACCAAATTTTTTTTATATATGTACAGGAAGCCCAGGTAATACATTTTGTTTTGTGACTACTAAACGGACACGCACAGTCACACCATTTTAACATTTTTTTATTCCAGAAACCACCCCCCCCCCCCACCACTAACAGTGAACAGAGAATGGATCGTTTCCTGATTGTACATTCAGTGTCGGTCCTCGCTAACTCGCTTGCTTGCTCACACACACTCATGCCGTTCACTTCCCATTCCCCCGCTCTAGGGACAGAGAGACAGGGAGCGGCACAGAGTATTCTAACCCGGACACGTCAGGGAGCGTTCGGATGCTTGTCTCGCTTCTATCGGGTTGTGGGAGGTTCAGACCCCAGGGGCTATTCTGCGCCATGTGTGAACCATGCGCTAATTAGGAATTGCAGCCCTCCTTAATTCGAGTCTGTTCGATTGTGTGCAATCATTCCTTGTCATTGGCCGTTCGTTACAGCGATACCGGCCCCTGTGTTACTTGCTATACATGTGGTTTACATACGGTTTGTACACTTGGTTTACACCTGGTGTGCAATCGCTCGCCAAATGAGGGAAAATCCCCCCAGGGAGCTGTCTCTCTCTCTCTGTCTCGGGGATTTACTGAGTGGTAGATTCACTGGAGTAAACATAACGCTTGAGTTATTCATTAAAAAAGCAACGAACCTTCAGCTAATTGTCCCCAATCCTTAATCCCATTTCACGTAAATTATCCTTAAATAATAGAATCTGCAATTTTTGGGCTAAAACTTAAAAACCTATTTACAATGTTTCATTATTGCTGCATTTGTGCATTGCTGGCGGTCGGTCGGGGTTGGGGGGAGGGGGTGGAGGGGCGCGGAGTGAGAGAGCGAGAGACAGCATCCCCATTCACAGTGTGTTGGGCACAGAATATTTATATCACAACAAAAGGGCAGAGGTTCATAGGGGGTAATGTGAGGAGCAGAGACCAGGAAGTGTTCACTCACACAACCCGGATTAACAAGTTTGCCAGGAAAGGTGGTTAAGGTCAGCTGCTAGGGGATGAACAGGGAGGAATCGGATTGAATGAGGCCTGAAGGGGGTTTCATCACCTGAACCTCAGCTGTAACATGTGATGACTATGTCACCGTTACACAGACATATCTCTGCTGCCTCCGATAACGCGGCTACCTGTGCCTGCTCCCCTCCAGAGCTGGGGACTGGGGTTGAAGGCAGGGAGGGGCTGAGGCAAGGGAGGGAGTGCGGAGGAACGGTGGGGGGGTGGGGGGAAAGATCCTCCAGACAAAGAGCACAGAGCAGGGGCGGCCCAGCGGGGGAGCAGGAAGCCCAGTGTGTGCCAAACAGGAGAGAGTAGGTTTCCCCCATCCGCTGGTTAATGCTGGAGTGTGACAGGCAGTAGCCCTCGGGGCGGGGCGAGAGGGGGGAGGTGGGGGTGGGGTATGAATGTCTCCTTGCTGCCTGCGTAGGTAAGTCCATGGCCGGCTCGGCTCCCCGCCTTCACCTGGACTCGGCCCAGTCCTGGCCCTCAGGGAAAAGCTGCTTGAAGTTGTTGAGGATAAAGTCCACAATCTGGTTCTGATGAGCCATGTACAGAGCCATGCTGCCCGTCTCCACCTCCGGCCTGAGCAGCGTCGGCCCGAACACGATGGCCATGCTCTGGGACGACATCCGGTTCTTGTCCCGGTTCTCGATCACCCTGGGAAAGGGGAGGAGGCACCGACACGTTAACCGGGGGCTTTGACGGCTCCCCACCTGAGTCTCTCACCGCAATACCCTCCCCACAACCCTCCCATGCACCGTGCTGCTGCTGTGTGTGTGTGTGCACACCAGCGGCACTGACTTGATAGCTCCTCTACCTCGCTCTGTGTACAACACCATATACACACACCTGTACAACACTCCCTGCATGCACACACCTCCCACCCTGCACACACACCACCCCCGCGCGCGCACACACACTCCGCGCACACACACACTGACCCCCGTTACGGTTTCTCACCTGCGGAGATGCCTGAACAGAAACCTCATGGTGTCATGGTTCATGACAGGAAGCGAATGGATGAGTTCCTCCATCCGCCACAAACGCTGCTGGCTCTCCCCGAGCTCTGTAACTCACACACACACAGCGTCAACACACACACACACAAAGTATCAACACACACACACAGACATAGTGTGAACACACACACAGCTTCAACACACACACGCGCACACATAGTGTGAACACACACACAGCTTCAACACACACACGCGCAGACATAGTGTGAACACACACACAGCGTCATCACACACACAGTGTCAACACAGACACACACACACACAGCGTCAACACACACACCCACACAATGTGAACACACACATAGCTTCAAGACACAGGGGCAAGTGGGGGGAGTAACGTGTGGTGGTGGTGGTGGTACACAGGCGGGGGCGGTGGGGGACAGAATGTCGGGGCCTCTCGTTGCCGGCTACTCACTCATGGCGGCGATGAAGTTGTCGAAGTGGCTGTGGGGAAGAGAGGCTCCGGAAGCTCGCGGAAGAAGAGTTTGAGGGCGCCGGTGATGACATGGACGTCCTCCCAGGGCTCGTTGTCCAGGCTGACATTCTCCTCTGTGTGGGGAGAGGCCTCGCGGTTACCTTGGTTACGCCGTAGTGACTGTCACAGGCAGTTACAGGCATCGGGGGCCAAATACCCCGGAAGCTCAGTCGCCGGGCTCTGCCGGCACCAAGCGCACGTCCACCCACCCCAGGCCTCAGGCATCGCTAGGCCGAGGAAGAGACAACAACAACAACAAACTCACTCACCAGGGCAGGGTCTCATAAGAACGTAAGAATTCGCTGTCGAAAGAAGACCAAGGTCCATCTAGTCCGCCTTCCACCATCTTGGCCATCACTTGACATGTCATGTCCCAAACTATATACCCTTCCTTCCCCCTACTACGCACCCTCCCCCCGCCCCCATCCCACAAGCACCCCATCATCGTGGCTCGCGGTTACCCCCCCCACCCCTTCTCACCGTGATCCACTTTAAATCGCAGCCTCTGGATCACTGCCAGGTTCCCGCTGACACGGTACAAACCGTCCATCTCCAGCCCTGGAGCAGAGAGAGAGAGAGTGTGTGAGAGAGAGAGAGTGAGAGAGAGAGTGTGTGAGAGAGAGAGAGAGAGAGAGAGAGATCGTCAGTAACCACGGGGTGTGAGAGGATAGGGTTGGGAAGCAGGGAGGGGAGAGGGCGGAAGGGAGAGGGGGTGGTGCGAGGGTGTGTGTGTGGGGGGGGCGGAGGGCACTCACCTCGACTCTCCACGGCTGTGACACACTTCTGCACAAATCTCGGCACTGAGCTGCTCTCTCGCCGGCACAGAGCCTCCAAACTGCAGCCAAACACCTGGTCTGTGGCACATACACACACACACGGTCACTAACAGCCACACAGGACCCCGGACCCCGACCCACACAACCTTCAACCCCCCTTCCACCCCACACACCACCCCCCCCACCCCCCACGGCCCTCCTCACCCTGGATATAGCCTCGGTCTCGTACACTCTGGAGGGTGGGCCGACGCTGCAGAAGCTTTTTCAGTTTGTTTCTCACTTTGTTGTGGTCAGAATCAGACGCACTGCCAGCCTGTCGCACCGACACTGTAACACGCACACACACTTGTCAGAGCTCACACCAGCTCACACCAACACACACAGCGTGTCAGAGCTCACACCAACACACATAACAATAATAATAATCCTTGCATTTGATATAGCGCTTTTCACGTCCAAAGCGCTTCACAGAACACACTGTAAAATGAATTGACTGTATATTTGTGGGCGAACGCGGCAGCCAATTGCGCACAGCAATGTCCCACAAAGTGTCCTAGATTGAAAATGACCAATTTATTATTGTACATACACACACACACACACACACGTGTCAGAGCTCACACCAACACTCTCTCTCTCACTCTCTCACACCTCGGGATTTCCTGTCCTCTCTCTCTCTCCCCGCGATGCTCTTGTTCGCGGTAACGTCAGGGTCGGGGTCACCGGGGGCCTCTCCGGGGGTCTCCAGGGCCTGAAACACAAACACACGGACGGGAGTCAGTCAGTCAGTGTGTGTGTGTGTGTCTGCGCGAATGTGTCTGCATGTGAGTGTGAGAGTGTGTGGGGGGAGATTTCACATGAGCCGCGATCCTAAAAACCACCCCCCGGTAACCTCACAGCCCCCGGTAACCCCCTCCACCCCGGTAACTCACAGCCCCCGGTAACCCCCCCGCACCCCCCCCCCCCGGTAATCTCACAGCCCCCGGTAACCCCTCCACCCCCCCCCCCGGTAACCTCACAGCCCCGGTAACCCCCCCCCCCCACCGTTACGCACCAGCTGTCGGATGCAGTCGGTGATGATCCTGTACCAGTCGCTGATGACGGACTCAGTCTCGTACTGTATCAGGTACTCGGAGCCCGAGCGGGTCTTCAGCTACAACACACACACACGTTACTGTCTGCTCACTGGGGGGGGGGGGGGGAACAGTGGGAGGGTGGGGGAGGGAGGGGGGAGAGAGAGAAGGGGAGGCGGGAGAGAGGGGGGTGGGTGCAGGAGGTGGGAGGGGAGAGGGGTGGGTACAGGAGGTGGGGAGGGGGGGGGTACAGGAGGTGGGGAGGGGGGGGTACAGGAGGTGGGAGGGGGAGGGGTGGGTACAGGAGGTGGGGAGGGGGGGGTACAGGAGGTGGGGGGGGAGGGGGGGGTACAGGAGGTGGGGAGGGGGGGGTACAGGAGGTGGGGAGGGGGGGGTACAGGAGGTGGGGAGGGGGGGGTACAGGAGGTGGGGAGGGGGGGGTACAGGAGGTGGGGAGGGGGGGGTACAGGAGGTGGGGAGGGGGGTGGGTACAGGAGGTGGGGAGAGAGAGAGGGGAGGGAGTAGGGCTGTTTGTGGGGTTACTCGGGGGAGTGTTGGGATGCACTTCACCTCCAGGACGTGTTTTTTACTGGATTTGTCCCTCGCGGCCCAACCGATTGTCGCTCCTCTCAGATCCACTGTGTGTTCCGGTACAATCTGCCCCGCGGTCTGTCTCTGAGCGGAGAGAGCGAGAGCCGAGCGGTGAGTGCGGGGGACACCGATCATCCCAGCGCCCGCCCCCCCCCCTAACTCCCCACCTCCACTCTCCCTCCATCTCTCGCCATCCTCCCTCACCTTCCTCCCTCCATCGCTCGCCACCCTCCCTCACCTTCCTCCCTCCATCGCTCGCCACCCTCCCTCCTCGTTCCCTCCCTCCCTCCCCCTCCATCGCTCGCCACCCGCCCTCCTCGCTCTCTCCTCCCTCCTGGTCTCGGCATTTTGCCGTAATATCGCTCAGATGATTCAGAAAATTCTGGGCGGGTGTGTGGTGTGTGTGGGTGTGTGTGTGTGTGTGGGGGGGGGGGTGTGGGTGGGTGTGTGTGTGTGGGGCGGGGGGGCGAGAATGGAGCGATGTCCTCCTGTTGTGTCGGTGCATCAGACGGTGTTGTTCTGGATTTTATTGTTTCGATCCCATTCTAAGATTGTTACACAATAAAGTCTTATCAGAGGTCTCTCTGAGCCTCTTCCTCTCTCAGGGCTCTGTCCCGCGAGCTCGTCCTGTTAGTCACTGGTCACTCTTACACCGGAGATGGTCGGGGTAATAATAATAATATAATAATCCTTGCATTTGACACAGCGCCTTATCACATCTTCTCGAGGTCTCGGAGCGCTTCGCAGAATAGGCTGTAAAGTGAATTGACCGTATATTTGTGGGCGAAACGCAGCAGCCAATTGCACAGAGCAGCGCCTGTCCCACAAACAGCCGTGGGTTGAAAATGAGCAACTTTTTATTATTGTTTTGTTTTGTTTTGGAGGGATTACTATTAGGCGTGTGGAGTAAGGAAACCTGCCCAAGGTTTCGCCCTGACCTGCCGGGAATTGAACCCAAGTGACTCACTTGCAAGGCGAGTGCTCTAACCACTGAGCTACAGGACTCCAATAATAATAATAATATACTACTACTACTAATAATGATCCTTGCATTTGATACTGAGCCTCATTACATCTTCGGGACGTCTCCCAAGTGTTTCCCAGGATAGACTGTAAAGTGAATTGACTGTATATTTTGTGGGCGGAACTATCTGGCTTCACTTACACATATTCCGGTCAGACTGGGCTCAGGAGCTGCAAAGACAGGATTGCTCAGCCTCGCTGACGCCCTGCCCTGCCCTACGTCACTGAACAGACATCTCCTCGGCCCTTCTCTCCCCCCTTTCAAACCCTTCTTAAAGAAAAATGGTTCTGTGTCCGCGCCTTCGGTTAACAGCCGCAAAACTCCCTCGACTCCCCTCATCTCCCCACCTGACTCCTGGAGGCTGAGCAGGAGAGGTATTTGTTAGGTCAGGGTATCAAGTGATTATGGGGAAAAGGCGGCCAAATCGTGGTACAGACCAGCTGTGATCTTACAGAATGGCGGAACAGCCAGTGTGCCAGGCAGCCAGTGCGCCAGGCAGCCAGTGCGCCAGGCAGCCAGTGCGCCAGGCAGCCAGTGCGCCAGGCAGTGTGCCAGTGTGACGTACTTACCAGGCTGCCTGCTGACTGGTTTTTGGGATCCTTGTGGAAGGTCAGGATGGATCCGTGCAGCACCGTCCAGGAGGTGGCCCAGTTCTTCCTACGGGAACAACAGTGAGTCAGCCAACAACAACAACGACGACGACGCCGATGACAACAACAACAGCAACGACGGCAACAATAACAGCAGTAACAACAACAATGACAACGACAACAGCAATGACAACAGCAACAAGACACAGAGCAGAGACACTGACCATGGACTGACAGAGATGCTGTACCTGATCCGCTTCCCATTATCCAACACTTTGGCCCTGTTCAGAATCCCAACCTTTTCCAACATGTGAGACTGGAGGGAAAATAACAGGGATGTGAGAGGATAACTGAGAACAAGTGTGGGTGGGGGTGTGGAGCCGAGGGTGGTGGTGGGGGGGGGCGTGAACAGTTTTGCAGCCCGGCCTCACCGGGGGGGGGGGGGGGTAGGGTGGGGGGGAGGAGGAAACCCATCACCAGGGGGTTACAGAGACCATGCAGGATAGTTGGGGGAGAGGAGGGGAGGAAGGGAGAGGGAGGAAGGGGAGGGGGGGCTGGGAGAGAGTGGGGGCGAGAGAGAGAGCATGCTCCGGCAGAGACTAACATGCGGAAGCAGAACATCAACGGGCTGGCCGAACTCTAGCTCCGCGCTGTAATCGGATGCGTTTCTCTGATGCTCTGAGGCAAACGTCTTGAGGGAAACAGGACAAAAAGAACGGAATTCATTTAAAATGTGCCATTCGCCATGGCAACTTGCTTCACCCCCCACTACCCGCCCGGCGTCAACACAGTCGCTCGTCAATCAACCGATCAATCCCCAACACATCTAGAGAAGCGGGGAGCCAGCTGGAGAGTGGGATTAACGGAAAAGGTGATACCCAAATAATAATAATAATCACATCTTCGAGACGTCTCAAAGCGCTTCACAGATACACTGTAAAGGGAATTGACTGTATTTTTTAAAAGAGATTATTACCCCTGAAAAAGAGATTTGCCAATTGACTAACAGCCAGGCTCCTCCTTACTGTTAGGTAAACAGAGGAGTGTGTGTGCTTATGTGTCTGTCTGTGTGTGTGTGTCTGTCTGTGTCTGTGTGGAGTAAGGAAACTTGCCTAAGGTTTGCCCCGACCTGCTCGGGAATCAAACTCAGGTCCTGTCGCTTGAGAGGCGAGGGCTCTAACCACTGAGCTACAGGACGGCATGGTTGGTGAGGTTGAGGTGAGGCCTGACTTTCTCTCTTTCTCCCTCTCACACACTCACCTTCTCCTCGGGCTCCGTGGCTTCCGGTGTGCGTGGTTTCAGTATCGTGTGCCGCCAGTTATTGAATATCGGGCTGGAGTCCTGCACGATCCCGTCACCGTTCCTGGTGCTGGGCTGCCCGGCCGTGATGGAGAGCTGGAGCAGGGACAAAGGCAGCTGGTTTACTGGAGAGGAAAATAGCCCCATATTTGAAGGCTACAACTGGCCCCGTGGCCCTGGGCTAGGGACAGAGAACAGTAAGTCTCCTGGTCGCAACAGCATTGGGGTGAAATTCCCTCCCCCCCCCAAACAAAAAGGTGTGTACATGCTGTGATAATAATAATAATAATTCTTGCATTTGAATGGCCCCAAATACCCTATGGTGATTACTACTCCACATGTGAGGAGTTATCCCCTTTCCCCCCGTGGGGGATAATGGAAAAGTCACCGGACAGTATGCCCCCACCACAACCCCGCATCAACCACCCCCCCCCCACCCCCCACCCAAGCACAAGCCTGTCAGCAGTTCGAGGAAGAGAAACATCAGAGAGGAAATCAGATTGTGGTGAGGGAAGAAGGAGCCAGCAGTGAAGTGTAACCCCGACACTCAGGAAGTCAGACTCAGGAAGTCAGTCTCTTTATAACCGTATAAAGTCACAATGTTATATTTATAATAATAATAATCCCTGCATTTGATGTAGCGCCTTATCGCGTCTTCAAGACGTCTCAAAGCGCTTCACAGAATATACCGTAAAGTGTACTGACTGTATATTTTTGTAATGTCCCACAAACAGTGATGGATTAAGTGGCCACATTATTATTATTATTTATTTCATTTTATCTTGGGATTATTAACCCCGGAAAACAAACGACTATCAACCCGGGTTCCTACTGACTGCGAAGTAAAGCGAGGCGTGTGGTGTAAGGAAATTTGGCTAAGGTTTTGACCTCTCACTTGCGAGACGAGTGCTCTAACCGCTGAGCTACAGGACTCCCTAGTCTACATGGTATGTGTGTGTGTCTGCAGTCACTCACAGCGGGTGTTATCTGGGGAAGGTCCCATTCCGATCTCCCACCATCAGGATTGTAGTAATAGTTCTGTCCGTTGTCATCCATATGCCTTATCCACTGACAAACACACAGTCACCAACCAGGATTAGACAGCATCTCGGTACACACCCCGATATACACACATACATCCCCCCCTGATATACACACGCACACAATATACACCCACCACGATACACACACACGCACACCGATATATTCATACACAAACCAATATATACACACACACTAATATATACACACACACCGATACACACACGCACCAATACAAACACACACACCGATACAAACACACACCGATACAAACACACACACCGATACAAACACGCACCGATACAAACACACACACACCGATAAAAAAACACACACGCACAGATACAAACACACACACACGCACCGATATAAACACACACACACACACCGATACAAACACACACCCCGATACAAACACATACACACATATACACCCTCAGGTATAAAGACAGGCGTGAGGGGTAATTACGCACAGGGACCTGCCCCAGAGACTGAGGTAATAAAGCACTGAGACGCACAAAACTCAGAACCGGTCGGACAGGATTGGGATTTGCTGGATTCTGTGGGTTATAAATAGCCTCTTGTCAGAGTGTTACACCCTCCCAGGTAGCCACGCTCTGTGCTCTGTACACAAACCTCAACCCATCAGGTGGGGGTGGATGCGGCTCAGGATACAGCCACGCCACCCAAAATCTGGCAGCAGATTGTCCCCAACACTAAATCTTCACCGCAGTCCAGTGTGCCTGGGCGATCACACACACACAGTGTGTATACAGAGTGCACACACACACATACGCCGTGTACACATATGCCGGGCACACACACACACAAATACTGTACACACACACACATACTGTACACACGCGCACATACACCCATACATACTGTACACACACATGGTCCTTACTGTTTCCTGGGTAAAGTCGCTGGTGTAGAGGAGCTGGCCCTCAGGGTCTGTGTGGCAGCTCCAACCCGGGGGGATGTCGGAGCCGGTGGGGGACTCAGGTTCACTGTTTAGATCCTGTGACCAGGACGAGGGGGTTCGACGATGACCCCAGGGTTCCTCCGGTATTTCCTCAATAATCTCGGGGTAATCCTGCTCGGGGGTGGGTGGCTGGAAACAACACAGCAACAGCTCAAACCCTGTACATCCCAGACCTCCGTTACACACTCTCACATGCATATCACACGTGTATCACATGATTTCCTCCTCTCACACACATATCACACGCTCAACCCTTCGCACACGTGTGTCACACTCCTCTCACACACGTGTCGCACACATTTCACACACTTCCCACACAGCAGGATGCAGTCTCCGAGTGTGCGGAGGCTGTTTCTGTCACTTACCCTCTGATTCCGGAGATTAACCGAGGGATCCATGTGCTCCGGCGTTCCCTCCTCCCGCGGTGATGGTAATTCCCACGTGGTTTCTCCGTCGCTGGATGGTAGAAATAGGTCCTCCCGCTGGCCTCATCCACATGGCTTTCCCATTCTTCGTAAGGATCGCTGGGAATGCCGGGATCGCTTGGAACGCTGTCACTGGGATCGGGAGAGGCTGGAGCCGGCTGCTCCCAGTTGTCCGGCTGCTGGAAAGGTGAGTCCCAGGTGGTTTCCCCGGAGACCGTGTTGTAGTAGAAGAGCTGGCCGCTAGCCTGGTCGCTGTGTGTCTCCCAGGCTTCTAGCGTGGGGGGCGTGGGTGGGGGGGGCTTCCTGGCTAATTCCTGTCTCAGGATCCCCACGTTCTGGTACAGCGACTCCCCCTCCTCAAACACCTGCCACAAACACAGCCTCAGTTACCCCGAACACTGACTGGGGTATAACCAGGTAATCACTGACCGGGTCACAGGACCCGCCGCCTGAGTGAAACAATAACCGACGTGTTTAATGTTGGAACATGTCAGGTCGCAGCGGTGAGCGAGGACAGTGAGTGTGATTGTTGGCAAACATGGCGGCCAATTTACCCACAGCAAACATCCCGCCCACAGGCGCAGAGTGAACCAGATGTTTTTTATAATAATAATAGTAATCCTTGCATTTGATACAGCGCTTTTCACGTCTTCTCGACGTCTCAAAGTGCTTCACAGAATAGACTGTAAAGTGAATTGACTGTATATTTGTGGGCGACACTCGGCAGCTAATTGCACACAGCAGCAAGTGTCCCACAGACAGTCGTGGATTGAAAATGACCAATTTATTATTGTTTTGGAGGATTATTATTATTTGTGTTTTTTTTTGTGTGGGAAATGAAAGTAAACCCTAAACCTCCTCCTCGCTGCGAGAGGGAAACACACATTGAGCTCACAAATTAAGTTTTGTAAGTTTTCTTTCCAAACACAGCGACTTATCTGAACCATCAGTGAGAGAAATGACTGGTAACTGTAATACCATCTATGTCACTTTCAACACACGCTCCCCCCCACTCCCCCCGTGGCATTGGTCCAACCAACCACTTCCCTATTTATCTCGTTTGTCCACTTCCCAACTGCTCTGAGCCTCTCGGTGTCACAGATAGCTATAGACTGGGCTGATGCCCAGCGCAGTGCTGGGGGGGGTGGGGGAAGCGCTGCATTGTGAGATGTTAAACTGAGGCTAAATGGCACTAGATAAGAGAAAAGAGAGTCTGTGACTGGTGATCTAACCAACGCTATCCAACGCCCAGATAGAACTAGGAAGCCGCCCGCTGGCTGCGTGTGACTTTGCTGTTTGCCTGCAACAAAACAGTCACTACACTCGGCCAGCGATTTCCCTGCGAAACGCTTCGAAACTTTGTGACGTGAGTTACAGGCCTCGAGTGTGACACCCAGGGATTGTTGTACGTTTCCTCTCTGGTGCGCTCAGTGCTGACCACGGCTGTGGAATCCATTCCCACCACACACACAAGGTGACTTGGGTTTGAGGTTTGCTGGGGCTGTTACAATGGAGCCTCCTTCCCCTTCGTAACTGAGAGGCAGAACTGGCCATTGGGGCGTTGTCATAGGAGACACAATCTCAGCAATGCGCGCGCAGAGAGACCTCACACTGACTAAATACAGGTGGTCGCAGCATACAGTCTAAGCCGACACTGCAGTGCGCGCTGGGTGGGGGGAGTGTGGGGGGGGTGGGGAGTGGGGTGGTGGTGGTGGGGGGGGGGCTGCATTGTCAGAGGTGCCAACCTTGGATGAGGCTTTAAACCTCACTCCCGGTCTCCCTGTTCAGGTGGCTGTTAAAGATCCCGCGGCACTATTTGCAAAGAGAAGGGAGCTTCTCTCTCTCTCTCTCTCTCTCTCCCTGGTGTCCTGGCTGACAATCCCCCAAATAAAATTGGTATTGCTCACTCCATGTCTGTTTCTTATTGCAAAAGGGATGAAGGGATATGGGGATAAGGTAGGGTCAGGTTATTAGCTGGAGTTAGATTAGAAGATCAGACATGATTGAATGGCGGGGCAGAGGCTCGAAGGGCCGAATGGCCTCCTCCTACATGTTATGTTATGTTTGTGAGAACACTGTTGTGTGCAACTGGTTGCCGCGTTTTTCTCACAAAGTACACAGTCACTCCACTTTACAGTGTGTCCTGTGAAGCGCTTTGAGACGTCTCAATGACGGATAAGACGGTTTATCAAATGCCAGGATTATTATTATTATTATTACGTATCAACAGAAAACCGCACGTTTCACTGACCCTGTCCTTGCCCAAGGCTCCCCCTCCCTCCCCACCACCCCGTGAGTTCAGACTGACATTAGCCTGGAACAATGGCTGGCTGCAGTCTGAGTCTGGGTGTGGGGCGGGTGCCAGAGCGACAGACACAGTGAGCACACCGACACGCCCACGCTGACAAACCTCCTGCTGCACACAGCACCCTGGATGGGACGTCACAGACGCACAGACCTGCTGACCACCACACCAGGCCGATCCGGGGAAGAAATGAAATTATTTTGGGAAGTAGCGAGATGGAACACTGGTTCACGAGCGACTGAAACTGGCCCCACACATGCACACGCACGCATGCACATACACACACACACACAGACAGACACACACACACACACACGCGTGTGCACACACACGCACACACACGGAACAAGGCCGGCTTCAAAATAAACACCGCGCACTATTTCTAGAATGTTCTCCACAGAAGCCATTCGAAAGCTGTGGTCGTGGCGAATGGTGCAGGTTGAGTGGAGGGTTTATTTGTGTCTGATCACGTCGCATTAGATTAAAGTCTATTTGCACACCAACCCCGTAAAACCCCATCAAACCTTTCAACAACAACAGGCATTTTGGGAGCGCTAATGTTTAACTAACGACCCTTCCTCCACATTCCTACGTTCTCCCGATCAGACAAGATGTTGTTCCCAACAACCATCAGCCGAGACACCAGGAGAAACTCCCTTGTCATCTTCAATAGTGTCGCAGGACAACAACAACAACTTGGATTTATATAGCGCCCTCCACGCCAGACGGCGTCTCAGAGCGCTTCACAGTAACAGATCCCGAGGCCGAGCCGGGGGACAGGGGAAGAAGGTGACCAAAGGCGCGGACGAAAAGAAAGATCTTTAGCCGAGAATCTTTAACATCCACCTGAACAAGGCAGCCTGGAACTGCGGTGCCTCTCACCCAAGCACAGCACAAAGCCAGTGCAGCTCTCCCGCCCCCGGCACTGTGCTGGAGCATCAGCCTGGACTGTGAGCTCTCGTCCCCAACACAGGGGCCTGGTCATCGTACCAATGCCGTTCATCCTCGCGAACAACAGGCGAGTTGTTAGTTAAATGGGGAAAGGTTTGCAGAAGAGTCTGTGTGCAAACCCTGCTCCGAGCGCTCAGGCAGCTAATTATACACCACACACACACCTCACTAACCGACCTGCTCAACCACCATCTTCCCACAAACGGGGGCCGAGGTTCAATTACAGCCTGTCCTGAGCCGGGTGATCGACAACAACAACAACAACAAATGACATGTGTACAGAACCTGTCATGTCGGGAGGACAATCTCTGACTATCCAGCGCCTTGGGACACTCTCCAAAGTTATTTGTAATTTGTTGTTGTTGTTGTTGTTGTGAGCTCAGTGGAGGAGGGGAGGTGAGGTTGGGGGGGGTGGGTGTTAGCCATTGCCTGGCTCAGCACCGCAGTTGGATTTGCCAGGGACATAGACAGAGGAGGGTGAGGGCAGCCTGAACCAGCCTCGCTCTGTGAACACAGAGACCAAGTGGGTCCAACACTGACTGCATCTCAGCCCCATCCTGTCCTCACGCCGGTGGTCGGGGGTGATGGGTGGGGGGGGTGTGCTGTCTCTGGACAGTAATGAGGAGTAAAATACACCTCAGCTACTTCCGGTGTGGGCGGGTAGGCAGGGAGGAAGGTGGGGGCATAAGCGGGCAGGGGGGAGTGAGGTATTGGGGAGACTGTCTGTGTGGCTCAGTGCTGCACTGTACAGAAGTTTCGCCGAGTTCCTGGCTTAAGAGGAAGTGAAGGAAAAGCTAAAGCCGTTTGTTACAGCTGTCAGATGTCAGCACCACATCTCACTGGGGGGCCATCGCGTACTCAGGGAGACCCTGGGATACCCTCTCCCTGCAGAGGTGGTCTCCACATACTGACTTTCCACAAGCTCTTTTTCAGAGGGAATTAGACAATAATGTCTTCAAAATAATAAACAAATAAACAAACAAATAAATAAATTAACAGTTTTGTCACTCAATCCAGGAATGTTTGTGGGACACTGCTTAGCACAATTGGCTGTTGCGTTTCGCCCACAAAACACACAGTCACTTGACAGTGTATCCTGTGAAGCGCTTTGAGACGTCTCGAAGATGTGATAAGGCGCTGTGTGAACTGCAAGGATTATTATTATTAAATCTTCAATAGAAGATGTTACGGAGGAGGAGGGATGGGGGGGGTCTGAATTTGCAGAGAGAAATGGCACAGCCACGATGGCCGAATAGCTTTCTTCGGCACAGGAGCATTCTACAATTCTCATCCAGAAATATTCTTAACATTAAAGATCTCTCTTAAACCCTTCTCCCACCACCCGCCCTTTCCCCCACCTCAGCACCCTCCCTCACTCCCATTCCCCCCCCATCACCCCACACCCACTGCTGCCTTCTCAGCTGCAATGACAACAATCCCAAACCCTACTCTCGCCAATGGCACATCCTCTCTCACTCTCCGTCCAAAACACAACACAAATCTGACAGAACAACCGACAGAGACTACAGACAGAGAGACAGAGGGACAGAGAGACAGACAGTGACTCTCCATCCTGCCAGCGACACTAGCTCTGGCTGGCAGGTCGTTGTGCTGTCAGCAAGTGAACAGGAAGCAAGCGATACAGGAAAAAAAACAATCATCAACCTCACACCCGCGCTCAGCTCAGCCTCACAGCCGTATTTCCTGGGTAGAGTGCAGGTGAAGTCCTACCTCTGGGTACAGCACGGAGGACAGGTAACAGTCCATGTTTCTGCACTGGTGATGCCCCGAGCCCCAGCCAGTGGTCACGGCACTTCAGGCACCTCGCAGCTCAGACCCATGGAAACACTCTTAATAGGAGGCGGATTTGCACATCTATCTGACATCTCGTCACTTCCTGAGTACAGCCGAGAGCAGCTCGAAAACAGAAGCATTTGGTGTGAAGCATCTCAGGCGGCTGTTTCCTGACTCGCGCGCTCTCGCTCTCTCTGTCTCTCTCTCTCCGCGTGTCTGTGGCAGGAACTCCTCTCTGTGGCACATCCCTGCTCCCAGTTCCATACTCGATCAGCTTAGGCCACATCCACATTGTTTATGTGCTGAGATCATAACTGTGATGTTTCACTGATTGCTGAGTGACCGACACAGACCCAGGTTACCCGGGGCAGAGCCGAGAGAGTGAGGCATCGGCTGACACCCAATCCGAACCTGATGTCTTCCTATTCAGTTGGACGTCAAAAGATTCCCACGACACAATAAGAATAATAAGCCTTGCATTTGATACAGCGCCTTATCACATCATGGAGACATTTCAAAGCGCTTCACAGAATATATTGTAAAGTGAATTGACTGCGTATTTTGCGGGTGAAACGCGGCAGTTGATTGCGCAAGCAGCGTCCCCACAAGCAGTCATGAATCGAGTGACCAAATTACGTATTTTTTATATATAATCCTGATTGTAAGTACATGACGCAATTTCTTACAAATACCACGGCCTTTGGAAGTTCTCTACCCCATTCCCTGCTCTCTCTCTCTCCATCGCGTCTGTGCTGGGACTCGTTCCCCCACTGGAGCTCTCTACTCTAACCCCAAGTAGACGTGGGGGAAGGGGATGAACATATTGATCTGAAAGCCAGAATTCCACCCAGTCCCAGCCTGTGAGACACTCTTGAGCTTAGCCCCAAACCGTGTTGTTGTTAAACGAGTAAACAGCAGCGCGAGGGGCACAGGGCACAGAGCAGGGCACAGAGCGAGAGGCACAGGGCACAGAGCAGGGCACAGAGTGAGGGGCACAGGGCACGGAGCGAGGGGCACAGGGCAGGGCACGGAGCGAGAGGTACACGCAGCGAGGGGCACAGGGCACAGAGCGAGTGGCACACGCAGCGAGGGGCACAGGGCACAGAGCAGGGCACGGAGCGAGAGGCACATGGCACGGAGCGAGAGGCATAGGGCACAGAGCAGGGCACGGAGCGAGGGGCACAGGGCACAGAGCAGGGCATGGAGCGAGAGGCACAGGGTACAGAACGAGAGGTACAGGGCACAGAACGAGGGGCACAGGGCACAGAGCAGGGCACGGAGTGATGGGCACAGGGCACAGAGCAGGGCACGGAGCGGGAGGCACATGACACGGAGCAAGAGGCACAGGGCACAGAGCAGAGCACGGAGCGAGAGGCGCAGGGCACGGAGCGAGGGACACAGGGCACAAAGCAGGGCACAGAGCAGGGCACGGAGCGAGGGGCACAGGGCACAGAGCAGGGCACAGAGTGAGAGGCACAGGGCATAGAGCAGGGCATGGAGCGAGAGGCGCAGGGCACGCAGCGAGGGGCAAAGGGCATAGAGCAGGGCATGGGGCACAGGGCAGAGGCCAGGGCACAGCCCTGCTCTGCCCGGGTTCGGTGCTGCCTGTTTTACAGGTTAACTCAGCCGGACCTGCTCCATGCATCGCTTCCTCATTCCTCAAGGGCACAACACCAGCAATAACCACACTCACAGATACTCTCACAGACTCACTCACAGACACTCACTCACACACTCACGCACATTCACAGATACACACTCACAGACACTCACACACACTCACTCACACATTCAGACACACACATTCACACACTCACAGAGACACACACGCACAGATACACACACATTTACAGATACACTCACACACACACTTACACATATTCATACACACTCACACACACTTAGACACACTCACAGACACACTCATAACCACACTCAGAGACACACACACAGATACACACACACTCAAGATACACACATACATACACACGCACACAGATACACACTTAGACACACTCACCCACACAGACACTCACATATACACACACTCACACAGCACAGACAGACACTAACTCACACACTCAGACCCACACAGACATACCTGCCTTATCAAACCGGTGACCGAGCCCGTCTCCCCCTCCCCACCCTCAGCTCAGTGGAGAGTCACAAGGAGTCTTACCAATGGCGGTTGGGCGGGGGTAGAGAGCAGTGTGTGTACCTGAGCCTGTGCTGTGTGGCTAAACCCTGCTCCTCATGTTCTGCTCCGAGGCTCTGGCTTTGCTCCCTGTGTCTCTCTGGCTCCCAGGGCACATTGCTGCCAGTTTCACCCACGCCCCAAACACACACCTGGCGGGAGGGGCCAGCTGTTAACCACTTAAAGCTTTTAACCTGTTCAGGTGAGGTTTCCAGCCCCAAGGAAGGGAATCCCCACGTTTCGCCCATGAGACGCAGTCACTACATTTTACTGTATATTTCGTGAAGCGCTTTGAGACGTCTTGAGACATCTCAAATGCCAGGATTATTACTCTTGTTATTATCTGATTGTTCCTACTTGAGACCTCCCCTGGTGCAGGACACACAGCACACTACCACCACCAACAACAACAACATAGCCAGCCTGGCACAGCTTACATCCCTTTTCCCTCCTTATCCATTTACATGGATTGGAAAGAACAACAACACACAAGCAACAACAACAACTTGCAGGTACTTAGCGCCCTCCACCCAGGGTGGCGCCTTAGAGCGCGTATGCACACAAACCCACCCACAGTTACACAGCGCCTAACGTCTCAAAGCGCTTACGAGTTGACATTGATTGGAATTGAAGCGAGTATTAAGGAGGTAATCAAACGGGCTAATCTGTCCCCCGTCCTGCCCACACATTACTACCCACCCTCACCAAACCCAACCCCCATCCCGTACAGTGGGTACAGAGAGAGGTCAACTTCCTGTAAACCCGAGGGTGAATTTGCTCAAACACCAAAAGAGGAAATGCATCAGGAAATGCTGAATAAGAGACACTGACAGCCCACTGTCAGTCACACAAGATCTGGCCGCACCAGCCTCCAGCCTTATTGAGCGGAGATTAACCCCTTGCCTCCCGCACGGCTGTGAGCGACAGTGGATGAAGGCGATGGTGATGGGAGCTGTTTGGGGAGCGACTGGGTGTGTCCTGGTTACTGGAGCCTGACGCTGACTTTGACGTCTTCCCGACGCTCGATAAGAATGTTACTTGTGCTGTTTGTCGCCCAAAGGGTGTGACGTGCTGGTATGCCACGGCCTGGGGAGGAAGGGGAGCAGCTCCATTCACAGATACCCAGAGAGCAGCCTCGGAACATGAGCCATCCTCACCGCCTGTAACCCTCCCCAGCTTCGGGTGATTACAGTCAGTGTCTGTTTACAGAGGGGAGGAGGCAGGATGAATATTTCTCTCTCTCTGTCGACCCTGTCTCCCCCCCACTACCCTGCCCCCACCGCTCTCTCTCCTGCTCCTTATCTAAGATCTAGAAGTTGATAACGATTTCGTGGTTTCACACAAATTGTAGTGGAATCCCTTCGTGTGTCACACACTGACGCCCACACACACTGTCATTCCCAGATTCTAAAGTCAATCATCTGCAGTAATGCACAGCGTGGGTCAGTTGCCAAGGCGTACACACTCACACCCACACTCACACCAGGTGCACTCACACCCACACCCACACCAGGTACCCTCACACCCACATTCACACCAGGTAGCCTCACACCCACATCCACACCAGGTACCCTCACACCCACACTAGGTACCCTCACACCCACACTCACACCAGGTGCACTCACACCCACACCAGGTGCACTCACACCCACACCAGGTGCACTCACACCCACACCAGGTGCACTCACACCCACACCAGATAGCCTCACACCCACACCAGGTAGCCTCACACCCACACCAGGTAGCCTCACACCCACACCAGGTAGCCTCACACCCACACCAGGTAGCCTCACACCCACACCAGGTACCCTCACACCCACACCAGGTACCCTCACACCCACACCAGGTACCCTCACACCCACACCAGGTACCCTCACACCCACACCAGGTACCCTCACACCCACACCAGGTACCCTCACACCCACACCAGGTACCCTCACACCCACACCAGGTACCCTCACACCCACACCAGGTACCCTCACACCCACACCAGGTACCCTCACACCCACACCAGGTACCCTCACACCCACACCAGGTACCCTCACACCCACACCAGGTGCCCTCACACCCACACTCACACCAGGTACCCTCACACCCACACTCACACCAGGTACCCTCACACCCACACTCACACCAGGTACCCTCACACCCACACTCACACCAGGTACCCTCACACCCACACTCACACCAGGTACCCTCACACACACACCAGGTACCCTCACACCCACACTCACACCAGGTACCCTCACACCCACACTCACACCAGGTACCCTCACACGCAGAGTCGGTAACAATCGCACTCACACCCGAGCATCTAAGTTAGTACCTTTCCATGTGGCCGAAACCTATTAAAACCCTACCCAGGACACACTTAGAATATTGCAGTGACTGTGTTGGGTCGACAAACACGGCAGCGATTTGCCACAAACAATGGCAACTTGTATCTGAAGGATTGTTGGCCCGGGACACTGAGAGAGAAACGGGCTTCTGGTTTCGGACAGTTAATGGGTGTTTGTTCAGTATTCAGACTCCAAAGTCCAGGCTACGAACTCTGAGAACCACTGATCCCACCCACCCTACAGCTCTGCACAATACTGAACCACGGTGGGTAGGTGGGTGGGGGGCTGGGAGGGGCACCAGGTCCTTTTACAGCCTCGTCAGGACCCTGTGACTGCGACGCTGCCCCCCACCCCACCTCCCCACAGCCTCCGACACAGCGACAGGCGACAGCCAGCGATTGGGACTGTGACTGTGACAAGGAAGCGAAGATTTTCTGAGTTGCACTGACAACCTCAGGCCGATTCATTCTTATCCAGGACAGTCCCACATCACGGGCACGCGTACACAGCGCGCACACACACACACAACGCGCACACACACAGTGCACACACACAGTGCACAAACTCACACACAGTGCACACACGCAACGTACAAACTCACACGCAGTGCACACACACAGTGTACAAACTCACACACAGTGCACAAACTTACAGTGCACACACACAGTGCACAAACTTACACAGTGCACACACACAGCGCACACAGTCACACACACACAGCGCACAGTCACACAACGCACAGTCACACAACGCACAGTCGCAACAACACACACCAGCAAACACACACACACACACACACACACACAGAGCGAGGCACAGAACTGCTAACACGTACCTTAGTACTGAGGTTTTCTTCGTTGGATGTCAGCCTCTCTCTGTGTGTGTGCAAGGGTGTGGGTGTGAGTATGGGTGGGTGTGAGGGGGTGTGTGAGGGGGTGTGTACGGGTGAGAGTGTCGGCTTGGGTGAGAGTGTGGGGCTGGGTGTGGATGTGTGCGAGGCTTTGTGTACGGGTGAGTATATGGGTGTGTCTGAGGGTATGTGTATGGGTGAGAGTGTTGGCTTGGGTGAGCGTGTGGGACTGGGTGCGTGTGAAGGTGACAGTGTCGGCTTGGGTGAGAGTGTAGGTCTGGGTGTGTGGGTGGGTGTGTGTGAGGGTGTGTGTGTGGGAGTGTGTGAGGGTGTGTGTTTGGGAGTGTGTGAGGGTGTGTGTGTGGGCACAAGTTCCAGTGGAGCTGCAGCCTTGGCCAATGGCAGGTCTGGGATGGTCTCGTAGATGTTCTCTGAGCCGAAGTCTGGGGTTTGGGGCAGGAGCTGAGTGGGGGAAGTTTTGGGGGATGGCAGTGTCACCCCCATGTGGTCTGTGCTGGGACTGCAGGTCCCGTGCTGTGTTGAGTTGACCATGTCGGTTTGGCTGTTGGCTTTGGTGGGCCGGAGGCTGTGTCCGGGTTCCTGAGAGCCGAGAGCAACCGGAGGACAGAACCTCTCTGTGAGGCTGAGTCTCTGCACACGGTTTGTCTTCCCTTTGGAGGAGAGTCGCAGCGTTGAACTCTGACCTTTTGGTATTTTGGTGGCGGACGCCAAGATTGGGCCCAGGTCGCTGGGGATCATGGCCGCGGGGGGACAATTCTCTTCGCCGGAAGCCGGAGCTCCATCGGGTGTCTGCGTCCTGGTCTGCGGAGTGCTCGCTCTGCCCGGTGGATTGACCGCATATCCTTGGCCACACTGGCTCTCGGCCGGACTGTGTGCGGGTGTGTTTTTTTCTACCTCTGGGCTGGGAGCAGGAGCTGAGGAGCTGTGCATCTCTGGGAGTCGTGGCTCAGACTCGCTCAGACCTGGACTAATCTCCTCCCGGCTCCCGGTAACGGCTGATCCATTCACGCACTGCAGCCCGGAGCCGGGCAGCTCCTTGACGTAATTGGCCGGGACGTAGAAGGGTTTGGTCTCCTGGTCTTTCCTGACGTGCCACCAGTGCTGGGTGGTTCTCGAGAGGAGATGATATCTCTCGTTCTCCCGGATGGTAATGAGCCGTCCGTCCCTGGCTGTGTACTCGTAATTAAACTCCACCTGGACCAGAGGCAGAGCCTGGCCAGAAGCCTTGGACGCCTCCATCTGCAGCTGCCTCTCCTAGTGCTGAGCCCCCATCACTGGAACACAACAACAACATGTTACATCTACACAGCACCCTCCATGTCCCAAGGACCTGAGTTGGTCCCTTCGCCTCGCTTCCGCCCTCACCTCAAGACCCTTCTCTTCAACCGTGCCTTTTGTCTCCCTCCCACCTCTCTGCCTTCTCTCACCCCTACCCCAGCCATCCCCCATGCTCGGACCCCGACACCTGACTGTTCAGCGCTTTGGGACGTCCTCCGTGACGTGAAAGGGGCTCTATAAATGTCAGTTTGTTGTTGTTGTTGAGGGTTGGGACCAGGAGGGGTGGAAGGCGGGGAGGGTGGAGGTAGGAGGGTGGTCAAAGGCGTGGTGGAAGAGGGAGGTCTCGAAGGAGGCAAGGGTGGGGGCGCGAGGTGAAGGGAATGTGAGATGGAGTTCCAGAGGGTGGGTGCAGAGAGGCTGAAGGCATGACAGGCGATGGTGTGGTGGTGGGGGTGGGGGGGATTGGATGGCAGGGACATGGGTCAGGCCGGAGCCCATTGAGAACCATTCACACGCGCACACAGCAGAAACAGACTTGCACACACACAACCACACACATCCACACACACCCAACTTCACACAGCCATACGTGCACACCCACTCTCACACACTCACATACACCCTCCCACAGCCACACCTTCGCACACCCTCACACATTCTCACACACACCCTCACACCCACATACACTCATGTACACCCTCACACACCCACACACATATCATCACATACACACACACACTTTCACACACACACCCTCATACACCACAGCCACACATACATCCTCACATACCTACACAAACAACCTCACACACAGCCTCACACACACACCCTTATACACACACACAAACACCCTCACACACTTATTTCCCCATTCGCTCACACACTTTCTCACACTCACTCTCACACACAAGCACAGCAAGAGCCGATTCAGGATACTGGATGCCACTGACAGTGAACGAGTGAGTGAGTGAGTCAGGGAGGGAGAGTGAGTGAGTGAGTCAGGGAGGGAGAGTGAGTGAGTGAGTCAGGGAGGGAGAGTGAGTGAGTGAGTCAGGGAGGGAGAGTGAGTGAGTGAGTCAGGGAGGGAGAGTGAGTGAGTGAGTCAGGGAGGGAGAGAGAGTGAGTGAGTCAGGGAGGGAGAGAAAGTGAGTGAGTCAGGGAGGGAGAGAAAGTGAGTGAGTCAGGGAGGGAGAGAAAGTGAGTGAGTCAGGGAGGGAGAGAAAGTGAGTGAGTCAGGGAGGGAGAGAAAGTGAGTGAGTCAGGGAGGGAGTGAGTGAGCGAGTGAGTGAGCGAGTGAGTTAGGGAGAGTCAGTGAGTGAGGGAGAGAGTGAGGGAGGGAGGGAGGAAACGAGGGGATGTGCTGTGGTTTTTTAGGTGTTTTTCAGATTCAGTGTCCTAGTGAAGTCGGCTGCTGTGACCCACTTATTGCTGATCAACACCTGGTAGCTCAACACTCACATCCTGACAGTGTTATTGTGTGCTTAAGGCCCCGGAGAGATGCTACAACAACAACAAACTGACATTTATAGCGCGTCTTTCATGTCGGGAGGTCGTCCCAAAGAGCTGAATAGTCAGATGTTGGGGCCCAAGTTTGGGGGAAGGGTGGTGTAGGGGTGTGGGAAGGCAGAGAGGTGGGTGGGAGATCAAATGCACGATCGAAGAGAAGAGTCTTGAGACTGGCTGGGGTAGGCGTGAGGGAAGGCAGAGAGGTGGGAGGGAGACCAAAGGCACGGTTGAAGAGAAGGGTCTTGAGGAGGCGAGGGCGGAAGTGAGGCGAAGCCAGTGGAGTGGGCAACAACAACTTTCATTGATATAGTGCCCCTCACCCAATGCCACTCACACAGGGCAGTGCCACTCACACAGGGTAGCCCCTCACACAGTGCCACTCACACAGGGCAGTGCCACTCACACAGGGTAGCCAGCTGCACAACAACAACAAGATTACATTTGTATAGCGCCTTTCACATCAGTGTTTGTGATCTTCGATCTTCGCTGAGATTCAACGCAGGATAATCTCATTGCTACAGCGTTTACTTAATCTTCACTAAAGAGGAAATTACATCAAGTCATTCTCACATTAGATTTTGTGATGAGAATGTTGGAATGTCTTCCAAAATGGGGCGTTTCTGTGTTGTGTATGTGCCAGATCCCACAAAAAAACCGTGACGTAACTTGATCGATCGACCAGGAGGGATTGATGTCCGGGGTGTTGGGGGAAACTCCCTTCTCTTCTACAATCGTGCCTTAATAATAATAATAATAATAATCCTTGCATTTGATATAGCGCTTTTCACGTCGGGAGGACGTCCCAAAGTGCTTCACAGAACACACTGTAAAGTGAATTGACTGCATTCAACACACTCCTGAACCCTTAGCGCCTCAGTTCCTTGCCTTGACTGAGGGACAGTGACTGGCCCCCAGCACTGTGCTGACTTGGTCTGTGAGCATCTGACAAGGGGGGTTAAAACCCCCAATGCCCTGACCCCAGAGGCCAGAGTGAGACAGACTGAGTCAGGCTGAAACCTCTCACGTCTCAAATATGAAATGAATTCAGCGTGTGACTAAACTTAGGCAGGGCAGGGCAGGACAATAGAGCAAATTGTGCTCCTCAAAGTCACATAATTACAGTTCTGAGTCGTCCCCGTAACAACAGCTAATTACGAAGTGGTTTAATTGCCTCCAGTTCAGGACGGAAATTATTTCTGGACCACTTGCTGCCCCGGCCAAAGTGTGACTCTGGCTGTGATCAAAATAAACATGCGATACTTAACTCTCTCGACGCCAGCACAGCCTGGTGCAGGGAACCCCAGGCGCGAGAGAGTTTGCTTGCTGTGACTTGCTCACAGGCATGTCCCTGCAGAGCAGTGAGCATTAACCAGCTGTTTATTAGCCAATAACTGGTTAGGAAAAACTCCTATCATTTTACTTTAAGGGATATTAATTATTTGTCATTTGTTTGTTGTGCGGGGACCTTCCAGGGAACTATGGGTCTCTCACTGTGTCAAGAGACCCTCACTGATCCCCTTACATCTCCATCCTGGTTTTAGCCACTTCCCCGCCACTTACACCAGCTGCTCCTTCCACTGACACTCATCAACCACGTACAATAATAATACTAAAACCCTCACACCCTTAACCATGGTGACAGATTTCCCCATGTGTAAAACATCCGGCTGACCAAACTAAATTCACACACACCCTCAAACAAGTGCATTCCAATTCCCTGTTCTTTCCCCATCCTGTCTGTGCTGGTGCTCGCTCCCCATTGGAGCTCTCTACTCTAATCCCATTCTTTATGGTGCAGGCTCCCTAGCGAGACGGATGGTGGAAGCATTGTTTGTTTCAAGAACAAATTAGATTTTGGCTAGAAATCTTGGGGATACAATATATAGTTTGGGACACGACATGTCAAGCAACCGCCAGGCTGGTTGTAGGCAAGCTAGATGGACCTTGGTGTTTTTCGCCTAGCAAATTCTTATGTTACAGGCACACTTAACATATACACACACACACACTCACCCACACACACACCATTTCCTAAGCTGTATTTTTATCCAAGTATTGGAAGAGAACAGAAAGCAGAAATAGAAATAGAGAAGTGCCTTCTGGCAACATGCTATTCCTAAGTTCACATTTACCACTCATTGCAAGATCAGTACTGTTCCTCTTATTACACACTGCTCCCCCCACCATAACACAAAACCCACTCAACTGGGCTACAGAGGTTATAGCACAGCATCAAGTCCCCCATCGTGTCTGGGCTGGGACTCGCTTTCCCACTGGAACTCTCTACTTCAACCCCATTCCCTGCTCTCTCCCTCTCTCTTCCCATCTTGACTGTGCTGGTTCTCACTTCCCACTGGAGCTCTCTGCCTCCACCCTTCGATTCTAGGCACAGAAAATAAACTTGTAGCCTTTGGGTTTCGTGACTGTGTGGTTAGGGCCTGGACTGACTGAGCAGCTTGTGTTCAGATGGAGAAACTTCTGGACGGCTGCTTTGTTGCTGCAGCCGAAGGTTGTGTGAGGAGCAGTGACCAGTGAGAAAATGATCCAGTCGACAATATTTCTTTTCAAAGTTTTTGAAAGTGTCTCTCTAATGAAAAGTATTCTCTGCCATTGTCGCAACCTTTTACATTCGGCCATTCGTTATAGGGACATAGGAACAGGAGGAGGGCATTCAGGCCCTCAAGCCTGTTCCACCATTCTATAAGATCACAGCTGATCTGTACCTCAACTCCAATTACCCGCCCTTGTCCCGTATCCCTCAATACCCTGACTTCACAAACATGTATCCACCCTCAGTCTTGAAAACTTGAATGGAACCAACATCAATTCATTACTTAATGGTTAATTCATTTGTCAATTCATTAAAACACCACAGGTTCCTACAAGAGAGAAGAAAGGGGAAGGTTCTGTTTACCTGAAGCTCAGTGAAGCCTGGTCCTGAACTTTACTTCGTGAGGAAATGGCTGCAGTTAAAACGCACCGTCCTGAACAGCTTCCACCAAATCCAGCGGAACTTCCCCCGTTTCCTCTTCTGCTGGTGCCACACACGCTCCGTGTGTGAAGCGTTCCTCCCGAGAGCCAGCGATGTGGATTGCTGCTGTCTGTCTGTCTGTCTGTCTGCTCTCCCCCCCTCTCTCTCGCTCTCTCTCTCTGGTTTCCTGCCTTGATGTGTGCGGTTTCACTCTCGGTTTGCGAGCGACAAAGACTGTAAAACATCAGCCAAAGCCACTAGCGACAGCAACTTGCTCACAGAATCACGATTCCTCTTGTTATCACAAAAAGTGACTGGTTAAAGACGACAATAATACCACATCCATACAGTAGGAGGCAGGGCAGAGGCAGGTGGGTGGCATTACCCAGTCACAGATGCCCACAGAATCATGCCAGCCAGACTACAGCTGGTGTGTAAATCGTGGTGGTGTTGGCACACCAGCAGCAAGGGAGGGGGTGCCTTTGGTGAAGGAGAATAACCTTACAAGTAAAGTACTCGTCTCGCAATCCAGAGGAACTGGGTTCGATTCTGGGGCAGGGCAAAGCCCAAGGCAAGTTTCCTTACTCCACACACACGGTCCTGTTAACCTAGCAGTAAGTACGAACACAGTTGTTAGTCGATTGGCAGATCGCTTTTCTGGAGGTATTAATTCCTTCCAAAAAAAATGTGGTCACCCAATCCACGACTGTTTTGTGGGATGCTGCTGTGCGCAATCGGCTACTATTTTTCGCCCACAAAATACACAGTCACTACACTTTACAGCGTATTCTGTGAAGCACTTTGAGATGTCTCAATGACACGATAAGGCGCTGTAGCAAATGCAAGGATTATTATTCTTACCATTTACTGAAGTCGAAGTGAAAAAGGTTGCCAACGGTGTTCCCAAAAGCACTGGGTGTCAGACACACGACTGTTAGTGTCCAGGCAGTGGAGGGTTTGACAGATTTCAGGGACAAGACTTAACATGGACAGAGTCTTTGCCAAGATCGGCCGTGGAGGAGGCATACAAACAGGGCGGCCTGGCAGAGGGGAAGGGAAGATCTTCAGACGGCAGCTGTGAGAGTTTGGCAGAGAACCAGAGGAAGTTCACTGCCGCTCACAGCGACACAGGACGGATGAGGTTTACATTTGACACTCGGTTTGTAAACTTACTCAGCTTCTGAGAAAGAGGATGAAGCCGTTCGAGGGGGCGATCTCACACCAACAGCAGCACCGACAATAACAGTCTCTGCTCTGTGCGGCAGCAGCCTCAAGCAGCAATGACTCCCAACAGCGTCCCGGGCAGCCGATAGCACACACAGACGGGTCGGGGCTCGTTCACAAGGTGTGGTTCATTCCAGTGAAATCTGAAAGCCACAGAGGTGAGGCGGTGTCTGATGGTGAGGAAACGTTGTGCTTGCTGAGGAGCTGGAAGCACACACTCACTCACTCACACACAGGGGACTTCGGGCACAGTGAACAGCACTTCTGATATGAAGCCTTTAGCGGGTTAAGTCATCTCCCAGCGCTTCACAGCAGTTGTCGAGTTGTTGAAGTGACTGAGAAGCTCATCAATGCGTTTTCACGTGGCCTCTGCGCACACCAGCTCCGCTCTTGTCGGTCGCCGCATTGGGTGCCAACCACGGGACAGGCTGGGTGGGCTGAATGTCCTCCACCTGTTCCTAATGCCCTCGCTAAATATTTAACGGCATAATTTCAATCGCTTAGACTTAAGAGCAAAAGGAATTTCTGCATCACACCTACTCGCTTTCAAACCCTTTCGGTGGAGCTGGATTCCCGCAGAGGGCGAGGATGGTGTCGCACAGTCCTGCAGTGGGCAGTTCGGTATCCGCCTGTATTTGTGGTTTGCAAATCTGGAACCGATGCTGCACATGACGGAATGTTGCTCTGACCGTCTGCTTTGCCGCAGTGGCCAGAACTGGGCACCAGAGACCGGGTGCAGGTGAGGGTCCTGACCACAGGGCGGCGCTAACTCACCACTGAGAGCACAGCCACCAATGTCCAGAGCAGATCCAGACATTAAAGCCATCGTTTAGATATGTTTTAACTGTATTTTGGGAGGTAACGTCCTGTGGCTGAGCCACTAACCCCTGTACCTGTCCAGGCCGATGTTAAAGATCCCGTTACACTATTGGAAACGTCTCCCTATAATAAACCCACCAGTTATTCCCCTCGCACCTGACTCCACGCACGGCTGCGTTTTACACTCGATAGCAATTCCCTGTGAAGCGCTCGGAGGCGTTCGGACATCGCAGTCGCTGGGTCACGGGCCGGGGCATTATCGCTGTTTACAAGCCCGGCCCTGTCCAGGAGACGGTCTTGCCCTGTAATGGCCAATGCTTCTGGTTAACACAGAAATGCACATGACGATCACCGTCGTTCAGTCCCCACTCGCCCTCGGACTGCGACCACTTTTATAACCAGAGTTCGACTTCGGTTTATAAAAAAGGGAAACCGATTTAAGGGTTTGGAAACCATTGTGATACAATATCATGTGAGTCATCGCATGACCCTCCATCAGACACCAACGTTAACACCTTCAAACAGCAACACGTCACTGGCTCCCAATCCCAAACTCACTGTCACAGCACATTGCTCGTGTGAAAATTGCACATTAAACTGATATAAGTTTATAGTTTAATTGCCATCACACACACACACACACACACAGCTGCCCCTGACACATCGAGTCAGCTCTGGGACTGAAGCAGAGTTTCAAAGTCCTTCTGATCAAGATTAAAAGCTAAAGAGCAGCAGAGGTCAGCATGTGCTGAGGAAAACACACTGTGCACACCTGCCGCTGAGTCGGTTTCCTGCTCAGAATCAGACGTTAGTTGTAAAAAATAGCTTTTTGAGAAGTGACTTGTGATCGATGGGGAAATCGTCAGGAGCGAGAAGTAAAAAAAAAAGTAAAACTGCCGAGTTAATAAAACCAGGCACACACGGCACGTTTAAAATTCAGATCTTTTTAATGGCATTATTGTTAAGAAAATAGAAATGACCAGAGAGAGCCTGTGTTTTAGTAAATCTTAATCATCATCATCCGTGTCGCTATGTCAAGTAAAGCAGAGTTTACATTGCAAACAGCCGGTCTTAAAAAAAAGAAACTTGTAGAAAAAAAACGTAAGGATCAGAAAGTGACGTAAGGCTGAATCTCGCTCTGACCTCCAAGTATCAAACCCGGAGTTAGTGAACAGAAAGCGATTGACAACACCTCCGGAACCTCTGTCCTCAGTGTTTGTGCGGTTATCGTTTGCTATGATTAATGCACAGCGTCCCTCAAACTGCTGAAAAGACCTGCAGTTACAATTCGGGTGGATTTTAAATGCAGGAGGACAGACACGTGGTCTCATAAGAAAGAATGAGTTGCATATTAATTGCACATAAAAGACAATCCCATATGTCGGTGACCAGAATCAGCGCCCACCCCCTGCCCCCACCCACTGTCTGACACAAACACAGTGGTGTAACAGGTCACAGAGTGCGTTAACAGAAGCTTCTGGTTCCCGGAGGACCCCCCCCCCCCCCCCCCCGACTGTCGCCTGGACACCCGCTGCTCCCTGTTCGGGAAAGGTTTAAAGTGAATCAAAGTTAATCTGTGTCCAACACTAACGGGCGGAGCCAGTGGGAGTTCCACGGAATGTCCTTCGGAGACCACACTGGTTTTTACCCCCAGTTATTCTCACAGCAGTAGACGGTTTAAAATGACCTCGGAATGTCTTCCCGGGAGCGAAGCCGCTGCTCAGGCCCCCCACAGGGCCCCCACGGGTTCCCCCACTGGGCCCCCCACGAGCTCCCCACAGGGCCCCCACGGGCTCCCCACAGGGCCCCCCACGGAGAGCTCGCACCTCAGACAGCGAGAAAGTGCACGTTCGCTTTGACACGAGTATTAAGGTACGTCGAGACGTTCCCCCCCCCACTCCCCCGTACCAGTGATCGTGCCAACACTCACTATTTACACGAGGGCCCGTTAGCAAAGTGCAGACGTGCTGAGGATTGACACCGTCACGCACTCACTCACGCACTCACAAACGCTGTATGTAAACGTTACACCGTTCATGCCATATACATACAATATCCTCGCACACGGGACATGGCTCGGAGTCCCCGCGGTGTAAGTTCAAAACAGCTTAAATACGAAAGACAGAATCATACAGTACAATCGGGTGTGAGGTGTGGAGTGGAGGAGCGTAATGGCGATCACACGGATAACAGTCTGTCAGTGTGTCAAACCCTGACACTCGCCTTGGAAAGGGGGGGAGCGACACACTGGCCCTGGGAGCCACCAGGGTTTGTCTGGCAGAGTGGGGGGGGGGGAATCCCCTCCGTTTCCCCCGCTTTCCAATCACAGCCACAGTGTCCCCAGCCCCCCCCCCCTCCCCCTGTTAGTGTGTATCTGTATGTGTTTGTGTGTGTGCGGTGTCTATGTAGTGTTTGTGTCTGTGTTTGTGTCTGTGTGTGTGTGTGTGTGTGTGTGTATGTGTGTGACATGCCACCCCCCCCCCCCCCTCCCAGCTCTAGCTCTGACTGCAGTAGTGAACAGAGGCTAATGGACCGGGCCGGGCTCCTGGTGCCTCTGTCTCCACTCGCACCGGGGGCAGCAGGGCTCGCTGGCCTTGCAGACTTTGTGGAAGACGGCTTTGCAGTCTCGGCACCTGTAAGAGAGAGGAAACGGTCAGCCATCAGCACCGAGTGGCTCCATCGCCAGACACCATCCACACGTGTGTCGGAGCGCCACACACACACACACGCACACGCACATCACACACGTGTATGTGCCACACAGACCGTGGGCCTTCAGCCTTTTTACCTCGTCGTTGATTCAAACTCGAAGGGGAAGATGATGTCGTCGCAGTTGCAGAGCAGACAGATGAAGCCGCGCTGTGTGCACAGGTCACACATGTAGACGTGATTACTGGCGAACTGGATGGCGTGTTGCAGGAAGGCCTCGAACACGCCGCGGGCTATCTGCAGGATGCGGAACACAGCAGAGAGTGACGGTGGCCACTGCCACTCGATCCCCCACCTCCTGGTCGCCCCCCCACCACCAGCCCCCCATCACCAGCCCCCCAGCCCAGAGCCTCGCACTCCCAGTAACTGTGATGTCAGTCAAACCCCTCACCAATGTGCACAAGCACCACAAGCACAATGTGGGCATGGGGGAGTGGGGGGGGGGCAGGAGGTGGGATTGACCGTGTTCTCAGCAGTCGTGTGACAGGGTGGGGAGCATCGTGTGGACCCTGACACTCACCAGCCGAAGGTCGGACACACTGTACAGGTGAGGAGACTCCAGCAGGTAATTTTTCCCATCGATTCTGCAGGAGAAAGAACAACGTTGACGCCGGAGGTATGTTGGCTAACT